CACTGCTTTTGAGTTTGCTGGACAGTCTTTCACTGACAGGGTAGTACATCCGAATCCAGCTAGGAAAAAAATTATGCTGAAACTTTCTCTTTCTCTGTGGCCCCTTTGACCTGCTGTCATGTTCGTGATATGATGTTTTATCTCCTCTCTTGGCTGTTACAACAATAACATTACTTCTGGATCCAGATTTGTGTCTGCAGAGCAAGTTTTCTCCACAGCGTCGCTGTCTATAATGTATTAACAGCGGCAGAGCCACAAGGACCAATAGCTTTTCTGTTGAATGCATGGCATTTAAGAACTCCACAATGCTCAAAAAGCAAAAGGGATGATATTTACATTTGTTTATTTGCTCTGAATGCTCATGTTGTTCTGTGCATGTACTTGAGTTTTGTTTGATAAACTCTCCAAAATTGTGTTTTCTTTGAGCACAAAAGTACAATACAAATATCTGACTTCTTGTATTAAAGAACAAATTGGTATTACAAATGATATATAAATATATTTATTTATAAAACATTTTAATACAAGAATTATTGTGTTGCTAAGTAAAATATTAAATAGCAGCATCAATGCACCGAGATATCGAATTAAACCGAATCGATGGCATTATAATCGTAACCAAACCATGAGAGCAGAGTAGGTTCACACAGCTAATATATATATATATATATATATATAGTATTTGTTACAGTTTATCAGTTCAGTTTATAGCTGTTGCATTCATTAACAGAATATGGTAAATACTACAATATATACAGTACAATACACTTTACTGTAGTAAATTATGGTTCAAAAACACTATATTATTAAAATTATTATAGTATTGTTTATGCAACAATAAGCTTAGACCAAACTTGTATAAAACATGAAAAATTAGCTATTTATTCCATGAAACATTAAGGGCCCTATCATACACCCAGCGCAGTGTGGCGCAAGGCGTGACGCAGTAGTCTTTTGGTAGTTTCAGCTTGGCGCAAGAGTTGTTTTGAGGCGTTGCGCTATGCTGTTTAAATTTACATTTACATTTAGTCATTTAGCAGACGCTTTTATCCAAAGCGACTTACAAATGAGGACAAGGAAGCAATTTACACAACTAAGAGCAACAATGAATAAGTGCTATAGGCAAGTTTCAGGTCTGTAAAGTCTAAGAAGTGTAGTATTAGTAGTATTAGTATTTTTTTTTTCTTTTTTCGGTACAGTAAGTGTGATATTCAGAGAGGCAATTGCAGATTAGTAAGTGAAGTGGAGACTAAATAGTTGAGTTTTTAGTCGTTTCTTGAAAGTAGCGAGTGACTCTGCTGTTCTGATGCAGTTAGGGAGTTCATTCCACCAACTGGGCAGATTGAGCGTGAGCGTTCGCGAAAGTGATTTCTTCCCTCTTTGGGATGGAACCACGAGGCGACGTTCATTCACAGAACGCAAGTTTCTGGAGGGCACATAGATCTAGCAAATGCATTAGCGCTCATTTTTGCGCCCATAGGCGTTCTGGTCTAAAAAGGAAGGCGTTCTGAGGCGGACCGCTGGCGCGTTGCTATTTTGAGAAACTATAATAGATTTTTCATTAGACCAAAACTAACCTGGTCTAAACCCTGGCGCAGAGTTGCGCCTCGCTTATGCACTGCTTAATAGCACAAGAGAGCAATAGGCAAATATCTTTACATATGGAAAAAATTTTAATATTAAGGATATAATAAGAATAGATATAAGATATAAATATAAAGGATTAAAATATTACAAAACATTTTATTTTCTAGCCTACATAAATATGAAAAACCACTGCTTTTATGTCTTCATCTCGGGAGGCTTTTTCAGATTATTCATAACAATTTGCTTTTGTATAATGTTATTATTATTAGCAGTATTATTTATTATATCCATATTTATATTTGTTTTATTAAAAACAAGCTTAGATTTGCCCACCTGTCAGGTTTTAGACCATATGGGGCATGGCAAGTGTATTTGGAAATAACTCTTTATTTCTATTAATTTAGAAATAGTTTTGAAACAAATATTTGCGCTTAACAAACGAAATTAATTATTTATAGGCTAATTGATGTCTGTGCGTGAAGGTTTCCCTATCCAAGAGCGAAAGTGAAAGTGATCCATTATCTCTCATTCTCACGCAGTAGATCCTCTGTTTAACAGTTTTCTGTTAAAAAAAACTGTCAACTGTTAACTGTTTGCTTGTGAAATGCTCAGTTTTTCCACTTACACTTACTTTGCGTCCTGTAAATAGCGAATGCGCTCTTGGCGCGACGCAGCTGGGTCTTAAAGGGAATGGGAAATGAGACTCTAATTGGTTTATTCTCAAAACACACCTATAACTCATTAAGAAAATAAACTCAACCCTTTTAGCTCATGTGCCTTGGCGCAAAGCGCATTTTCCCGTCCGTAAATTAGCAAAATTGCGCTCTGACACGCCCTGAAAGCGTTAGCGCCCCGCGTTTTGCGCTCTGCGCATGGACTGTCAAAATAGAGCCCTGAGTGTCTTTTTAGGGCTTGTTTTGTTTGTTGAGTGCATGACTAAACAAGATTATTAAACACTGTTATTATTTTCATTTATTCAAAGGTCTCTTTAAAATATCCTTATATAAAGTAGAACTTTTTGTAAAAATGTCTTCTAGTTAGATACCAGTTTGTTAGTATGCTGTGTTGAAGCATCTGACTGTTTACTTCCTTGTGAATAGCCTGGCAAATAACAAATCTGCCCTCATTATCTTGTTAAATGTGTTATTGTGTTTCATAGAGCAATCAGATGTTTCAGCACTGAGGATGCACCTTTTTCTCTTTTATGGATAAACCGACTGAATCCTCCGGCAGGCGCTGGCAGAGTAATTACTCCACTCGTTTACTCTGCGTGTGAATAGATGAAGGGCTATTAAGATCCATTAAGAGCGTTTATGAATGGTTGGTGGGTTTGAGATGTGCTTATCTGATCTGAACAATAACACTGCATTTCTGGAGAGACTCTACAGACTCCATTCAGACTTTCTGTATTATAAAGTATTCTCGGTTTTTCAAGCATTTGCCCTTGACACTTTGAAAGCGCTTCTGTGCTGAATGAGTAAACTCTGCTATCGATTTCCTATGGGGTGTTTCAGAAAACGGTGGTAAAAAAGCAATGTTTCACTTTTGTTTTTTGGAAAGTCAATGAATTCTACATCTTTCATGTTATTTTATGGGTTTTTAAAACAGCTTTTGCTGTAATGTTTTCTTTTGAGATTAACACCTCGATTTAGAAAGAATGCTTTAAATTAAGACAATTACAATAATTATTGTTTATTTGCGTTATATGGCTGGTGAAAAGAATTGCCATCAGGTTTTTGAATGAACTGCAAGCTGTTATAAATCATGTCATAAAAGCCTTTTTTTCTAACATTTGGTCTTAAAAATTACTTTGTAAACACTACATCTTTGGATATTCTAGTTTAATTATAAGATTCTTCAATTTTTTTTTTTAAGAGAGAGGGATTGAATTAAATAATAGTTTATTCAATTCACCTATACCGCATGTCTTTGAATGGTGGGGGGAAATTGGAGCACCTGGAGGAAATGCACGTGAACATAGGGAGAACATGCAAACTCCACACAGAAATTCCAACTGACCCAGCTGGGACTCAAACCAGCGACCTCCTTGCTGTGAGGCGACAGTTCTAACCACTGAGTCAACGTACCACCCAACAGTACTGTGAAAATAATGTAACAATAAAACTATATTTAAATAAATGCCTCAATATATTATTAGCTAAATCAAAAAACATTTAAAAAATTAATATTAGCTGGTAAAAACATTATTATCTAATGTAGGTAGGTGTGGTTCCGTCTCTTGTAACTTAAGAATCTTCTTCCCTCCTTCGGTTCTATTTCTTTGTGCTGTCTGTTGAGGTCATATGTCCATGAATAAAAACTTAGGGCCTAATCATGCCCCTGGCACAATAAGGCACAAAATGTATTTGGCATGATTTATTGCTACAGTATTTCCAGACTAGAGCAACCCTAATTTTCATGTTTTGCGCCACGTTGTTTAAATAGCAAATCCATTTGCACCACATTGTGGACTCATGGGTGTGCCTGTCTATAAAAGAGGTGTTTTAAGGCGCATTGTTGGCGCATTGCTGCTTTGAGGAACTGAAATAGACCGCGCCGTTGACTAAGTAATAGCTGCTCTAAAGTCCAGTGCAGAGTGCATTAGTTATGAACCTATGCAGGTTCATTCACTTAATACACACAGGATGTACATCAATACACACATATCTTTACATATAAAAAAAAACTAAAGGATTAAAATGTTACAAAAAATACTATTTACTACACAGATATAAAAAACACCACCTCCATGCCTTCATGTTTGGGGGGCTTTTTTTTTGTTTAATTATGCCAATTTGCATTTCTATTATAGTGCTATTATTATTAGCAGTATTATTTATTATATGTATGTTTATTTTTGTTTTAATAAAAACATGTTTATATGGCCACCTGTCGGGATTTGAAGATGTCTGCATTAGCATATGGGGCATAAGAATAGGACATGTGTTTGGAAATAATTCAGTTTTTTGACCACATTTTATTATTATTGTTCATTTAGTAGTTTGCTGGAAATTAGAAGTGAATTTAGAAATAGTTTTGAAACAAATCTTTTATTAAATCTCCTAACAAACAAAATTAAATGTGTAGGCTAATGGGTGCCTTTAGTGGAGTGCGTTCAACACTGTATCCTTGTCCACTAAAGTAAAGTACTAAAGAGTAAAAGTAAAAAGAAAGTAAAGAGGCCGAATGGAGGAGGCTCATTCTTTATCCTCTTGCTGCAGATGGTCTGTTTACCTGTTTTCTGACTAGTGAAGTGTTCAGTTTTTCCTCTTACAAAGTCCGCCATTTAAATAGCAAATGCGCCATTTCATTGTCTGTTTTCACCATTTGCGCAAAGCAATAATCTAAAAATAATCTAACAAGAAATAAAATCTAAAAATAAACCAGCTGATGTGATTTTGTTCTGTTTGTAGGGGAGGACCGGCCGAGGGAGAACGTCGTGGGCACTGCTGACGGACAGGCGATGGTGGGCGGAGCAGGGGTGGAGTCAGGTGCGGGGAGACAGAGATTACGCTGCTGTGTGCGAGTGACGGCTGTCCAGGTGCGGAAAGCAATATGGGGCGTGGCCATGGTGATGTGTGTGTGCTCGTCATGGGCAGGCTCCACCCAGCTGGCCAAACTGACCTTCAAAAAGTACGACGCACCGTTCACTCTCACATGGTTCGCCACAACCTGGAACTGCCTCTTCTTCCCTCTGTATTACATTGGCCACTTGTGCAAGAGCCCTGAGAGGCAGACACCGAAACAGAGGTTCAGGTAAGAAATTGGGAGATTTTGATTGCTTTTATGTGATATCTGAGATTGAAGGGTGTTAAGTGGCATCTATAAGGGCGTTTGCTCTGTGTAGTTACAGGAACTAGACATCAGCCTTGGTTCCTCAATAATATCTGTATAGCATTTTTCTGGTTGCTTTCTCCCCTTTTTTGAATGTCATGTGTTACGTAGCGGATGAACCCCGCTACGCACATAAGATTAAGGATGACCGCTATTAAAAGAGGTCACCCGGAGTCCCCGTTCCTGCTCCCCAAGCACACACACACAGGCCAAGTTGTCAAAAAGGGGTATCAGATTTATTAAACAAAAAGATCAAAATCGGAATCAGGGAACAAAAAGGCCAAAACAACTAACAAAACAAGGTACGCTACCTAATATTAAACTTCTTACCTATACCAAAAATAAAGTTCCATAAATAAAGCATACAATTCTAACCTCCCTAACTAACCACAAAACAGGAGAAAACTGGACAAAAGAAAAAGGGCCTTCCCTTTGATCATTCAGCATTAAGGTAAATATTAGCCACAGCTAACACATGATACCGTCCTAGTACCATATTTAACAGAGTATCTCACCAGATGACTTTGAAACAGGGTTGGAGAAAGGCATTACACAATCAGCCACCGCTAATGCAGCTTACCGTCCTATTACCGTATTTAACAGAGTATCTCACCACATTACTTTGGAAAATGGTTTCAGACAGTAAGATCACTGCCACACAGAGAACTCAGAGCGAACTGCTCAGACACACACACACACAATAGCGAGGGGAAACAGGAAGAGAACTCGATGAGGAGCGTCAACGGCGTGCCTTTATAGCTGGCGCCGCCCCTCTCACAGCTGCACCTGATCTCCGCTCATGTGGAGAGAGAGAAAGAGATAGATAATAGAGGAAACACACACAGGAACAATACACACTAGCATTGTCAAAAATAATGTTACTCAATATGTAACACATGTACCATATAGAAATCTGATACATGTAAATACAGTATATGCAAATGACAGATATAAGACATATAATCCAGTTACTATGACCATTTATGTGAAGCTGCTTTGACACAATCTACATTGTAAAAGTGCTATACAAATAAAGCTGAATTGAATTGAATTGAATATAAGTTTATATTTGGTTTCACAAACATATAAATATATAATATATGTCATATATGCAACATTTTGAAATGGTTGCAAATGTATTAAAAATAAAAAGCTGAAAAATCACAGGTACATAAGTATTGGCAGCCGTGAAACTCTAAGTTGAGCTCAAGTACATTCTTTTTCCACTGATCATTCTTGAGATGTTTTAGCAGCTTAATTGGAGTTCACCTGTGGTAAATTCACTTGATTGGACATCATTTGAAAAGGCATACACCTGTCTATATAAGGTCCCAGGGTTGACAGTGCAGGTCAAAGCACAAACAAAGCATGAAGACAAAGGAATTGTCTGTAGACCTCCGAGACAGAATTGTCTGGAGGCGAAAGGCTGGGGAAGGTTACAGAAAAAATCTTCTGCTCTGAAAGTTCCAATGAGCACAGTGGCCTCCATCATCCGTTAGTAGAAGATGTTTGGAACCACCAGGGCTCGCCTGGAATTTGCCAAAAGGCATCTGAAGGACTCTCAGTCCATAAGAAACTAAACTCTCTGGTCTGATGAGACTAAAATTGAACTCTTTGGAGTAAATGCAAGGCGTTTCGTTTGGAGAAAACCAGGCATCGCTCATCACCAGGCTAATATCATCCCTACAGTGATGCGTGGTGGTGGCAGAATCATGCTGTGGGGATGTTTTTCATCAGAAGGAACTGGATAACTAGTCAGGATAGAGAGAAAAATAACAACAACTTAGTGAATGTCTTTAAGTGTTATTTGGGGAACCAAAATGTTTGTTCTTTGACATTACTACAAAAACACTTTTTGAGTAATGCCAAGTTACAAAAACACTTTTTTTTTAGGTCACAATTTGTCGTAATTTGACAATACGACATTTAAATGACATGTTTTGAAATGGAGCAGAATCTTAAAATATAGTACAGTTGTAATGTCTAATGGTTTTATGTGAATATCATAGATGAATCTGCTTGGTGAAATCCCTTTTTGTGGCCGTGATCTCTGTTGAGGGAAACACTGAGGAAATTCCGAGCCATAATTCACGGACAGTTTGTCCTCTCCAGCTTTCCCTTGTATGTGCTGAATACTAAGCAGGCTTATTTAAACCATCGTGCTGAAGGAAAATATACTCCTGCTCTGTCTAGGAAATCAAAGTAAAGAGTGTTTGGGGAGTACAATATGCTGTATATTCAGGTAAAATGCATCTTGATAGTTAATAATTTAGTGTACAACAAGGAAAAAAGAGCACTAGCATTTTATCACACAGGAGAAAACGATATTAACAACACGGCAAAACAGGATTTAAAGAGTAAACACCAGCTGCAGGCTTTGTAAAACTGGAGCAGAAAAGGCAGAAAGATTTTTGTTTGACGTGAAGTGCCTTTAGTCATTCTATATTAATTAAATTATGTTGTTTAGCCAACATCACTTAACCTAAGCCTAATGTCATTAAAAATAGTGGCTGTAGCCCAAGGACCCTTTTAACATTTTAGGGAATATCAATAGGGAACTGAACAGTTCCTGCTGTACACATAATCATGCTGATTTATGTTCTGAGATCAGTCAATATGCTGACCTTCAACAAAGATGTGGACCCAGGAAAATGTCAAGCTTTACTTTAAAGGAACGCATGACTTAATATTTATGCACTGTAAGAAAGGCTAATTATATAAGTCATAACTAAGTAAATAAGACAAAATCAAACAAGCAAACAAATAAATTATGCATATATAAATTACATAAATATAATTATGAATGAATAATTGGAACATAATAATGTACAGAAAACGTATTAATAAAAATACAAAAAAAACTACTAAATACCTTTTTAAAATGAATGACATTTGTATGCTTTTCAGGGCTCAGATCATTTCTAGACCGTTGCAAATGTGTTATATAAGCAATATCACTTGAGTAGTAGTGCAATATGGCTGTATATCAGCACTGGTGGGAGGCGTGCGTTGGCTCGGGGCTGCAGACCGAGGGCCTTAGAGTCCTGCTAGTGACCACATAAAGCCATATCGTACTACTACTCAAGTGATATTGCATTTATACAACAGTTCGATGGCATAATCGTGTATATAAAAAAGAAAATCAAACAAAGAGAGTCTCAAAAACCCTTTTGTAAGAGGAATTTATTTCTTCCGTCATTTATACACATCTGCAGCTGATGTCAGATTAGCAGAAACCATTGAAAAAATGCTGTTTTTCCCCCTGAGGACTTATTATGCAGTGTCTGTCGCCATCTTGTGGTGGAACACGTCTTTGCTTTGCTCTGCTCAGTATGACAGGCTAATGACCGCCAACGTGCTGAATTTCTGAAATTATGAATATTTAAAATAGATACTGTCCTTATAAAGAGTCTGCATAGTTGCAATCTAAACAACTAGATTCTACCCTAAAAAGGCCTCAAAAGTACATTGTTGTCCAGCAGCTGCAATATTTATCAACCTATATCTACTATATAACTATATATACTTTGTTTGTGTGGTACTTCAGAGAATGCTGCCGGTTCTTCGGGGACGATGGGCTGACGGCGAAGGTGTTTTTCACTAAAGTGGCTCCTTTCGGCCTGCTGTGGATTTTGACAAACTACCTGTACCTTCAGGCTCTGAGGAAGATCAACAGCACCGATGTGTCTGCTCTCTTCTGCTGTAACAAAGCCTTCGTCTTTCTGCTGTCCTGGATTGTGCTGCGCGATCGCTTCATGGGCGTCAGGGTGAGTGAATGAATAAGATGTGTAAATGCAGTGCTCTCTATACTGAAATTGGCACTCTTGGTAAATATGAGCAAAGAGGGCTGTGAAACATGTCTTAGTATTAAGTATAGTAATAGTATGCTTGGTACACTGCCTGAAAAAAAAGTCTTATTGTTGATCCCAGCTGTAAGAGCAACAAATAATAACTTCTAGTTGATCATTTGGAAAAGTGGATTTTTCAGATGAATCATCTGTTGAGCTGCATCCCAATCATCACAAATACTGCAGAAGACCTACTGGAACCCACATGGACCCAAGATTCTCACAGAAATCAGTCAAGTTTGGTGAAGAAAAAGTCATTGTTTGGTATTACATTCAGTATGGGGGCATGCGAGAGATCTGTAGAGTGGATGGCAACATCAACAGCCTGAGGTATCAAGACATTTATGCTGCCCATTACATTACAAACCACTGGAGAGGGCAAATTCTTCAGCAGGATAGTGCTCCTTCTCATACTTTTGCCTCCACATCAAAGTTCCAGAAAGCAAAGAAGGTCAAGGTGCTCCAGGACTGGCCAGTCCAGTCACCAAACTAAACATTATTGAGCATGTCTGGGGTAAGATGAAGGAGGAGGCATTGAAGATGAAGCCAAAGGATCTTGATGAATTCTTGTAGTCCGGCAAGAACACTTTCTTTGCCATTCCAGATGACTTTATTAATAAGTTATTAGAGTCATTACAGAGATGTGTGGATGCAGTCCTCCCTGCTCATGGGTGTCATACATAATATAAAAAAAATTCCACTGCACCATGATTTTATATTCTATACTGTACATTATTTCTGTTCAGTGACAAGACTTTTGTCTTAGCAAAGTCAGACCATACTGTCCTAATTAAATAATGAAAAATCAAGGCCTGATCATATTTTATTTTGGTAAAATAAGCGTAATCTAGAGGCCTTTGCCTTTGATATAAGTCCCTCCTAAAACCAAATGATCAACTAGAAGTCAAGTTAATATTTGTTGTTCCTAAAACTTGGATAGGCGACAAGACATTTGTCAAGTAGTGAATAGTCTTAGTAAAATTTTCAGAAAATATTAACAAAAACACTACAGTCAATAACTGCAAACCAAAAAAAGCTTCTTTGAATTTTAATGATTTTTTTATTATCATTTATTAAAAAAAAACAAAAGCTTATGATAAATATGTGTGCCATAATTGATGACCCCCTGTTGAATTGGAGTATTTTGCTATTGATGTTTTACTTTCTTTCAGTTCATCTGGGTGACAAAGATCAGGAAATTGTTCAATTGTAAATGTACACAAGGGAACACAAAGCCAAACACTATTTGTTACTTTGGCTTTGTGTTTCCTTATAAACATTTACAACAGAACAATTTACCATTCTTTGTCACCCAGATGCAATAAAAAAGTCAACTATCACTAGGAACAAGTCACATTGCATTTCATTCAGAAGGGCTCACCCCTATGCCCTAATCCCCTCGAAGGGTTTACCCCCTGAAGTGATAGCTTAGTAGCAATGACGGGTGTAGGGGGTTAAAAACAAAGCTACTTTTTGGAACAAAATTCAGTTATCATATCGAGACACAATAACACTTTTCGTGTGCCTTCGTTGTCCTTTTTGTGCAGTAGTTGACACCCTATAAACATGCTTGGAATGATGAGTACATTGTGCAAGCTGCACCTTATTTATAAATGCAATGTAAGTGTTTGTATATTGATAATAGCAATTTGTTTTAGAATATTTTATAACTCTTAATTTTTTTATTTGTTTTAACTTTATTTATAAATTCTAGAGTAGTTGCCTATAGAATAAAACTATACATACATTTATAGTTAAAACTCTTTGACAGTTTCTGTGTGATTTAAAAAAAACTTCCCTGCTCAAAGAATCGTGGATGCCCAAAGTGTCCATCAGTTGTACCCAATAAAATCCTATTCCAAAGGGCTGTTCGAGGTGGCCAGTTTTGAGCACTTAGGTTTTGGAAAGACGCTTCAATATGGCAATCATTTTTGTTTTCACTCCAAAGTGTCCTTCTAAAGGGTGATACAACCCATATGGAACGCACCCCAAGTCTCCATCACAATGATTAAAAAAAAACAAAGAAAATGGGAAGTTGCTGTTAAAAATGTTTTGCAAAAACACTGAAATTAGTAGAAATTTTTCATTTCTACCACTGGGGGCAATAATTCAGGAACTCCAGTCATCTGAAAGTGTCATGGTATGAATCGGTTTGGAAGAAGACATGTTTATTTAGGAATAATGATTTTAAGTAGCCCCAAAATAGCCCAGAATCTCAGTTGAAGAATTGCCAAGTTTAGTTTTGGGGTCAGAAAACCTACAAAACTACAATCCCACATTACCCCACACACACTGAAAAATGATTCATTTGATTTACTAAACTGTTTTAAGGTAAGTGGTTGCAAACAATGTTATGGGCTGAATTTAAACAAGCAAATTAGGTTGAACATTACAGCAATAAAGTATATTGTCTGTTTATTTAAACTCAGCCCATCTAAATTGTTACCTTAACAAAGTAAATTGCAAATCCAATGAATCATTTTGTCAGTGTATATTGGAATGGTTTCAAGAAAGAAGTCTCTACTCTGATTCAAACACAAATTTAAGCATCCTTAGTTTTTTTGTTAATTATTGGATCAAAAAGGTAAACTAAGACATTTTTCTCATGTTGCCTTTGCTCATATTTACTATTCACCTTATTCTCAGCTGTCGAGCGGGCGCTGCGAATTGAATCTTTTTGTCTCGCGACTTCCGGTCACATTCACTTCCATTCATTTTTTGACGTTAACAACTGCTCGTTACGCTGCTTGATGTTGCAATTTAATATTTTCTTATTATATTATGCTACTTGGTTTGTGTAGTCATGCAAACATTTGTTTGTTGAGCAAGCAGTTTGGCCATTTTCTGCCGTTTATTATTCCTAGTCATTTCTCCCATAGGCGACTGAATCGGAAGTTCTAAGACAATCGCGAAAACAGGCGCACTTCCGCATTTTAGAATAAGGTTAATAAAGTGCTGCCAGTATTAAGTAGATCACTGGTGTCAAATCCAGTTCATGGAGGGCCACAGTTCTGCATAGTTCCAACCTTTACCTGTTGGTTCAAACAAGCCTGAAGGACTTGATTAGTTTGATCAGGTGTGTTTAATTATGGTTAAAGCTAAACTGTGCACAGTTGCCGGTGGCCCTGTAGGAACTGGATTTGACACCTGTGAGGTAGATGCTTGACGGATGGTTGTGGATTTACATTTTCTCTAAATGCTACTGAATATGTCAGCAGTGCCACCACAGTACAATACTTTGCTTCCACCACAGTAACCTTTTCCTTGCTTTTTCCTTTGCTCTTTTTTTCTATTTCCTGTTCCCATTTTCTGTTTCCTCAGATTAAAAGAGGCAAAGTGCTGTGTAAATTTTCTTTGTCTATGTAATTCTCTCCAATTCTCTCTCTCTCTCTCTCTCTCTCTCTCTCTCTCTCTCTCTCTCTCTCTCTCTCTCTCTCTCTCTCTCTCTCTCTCTTTCTCTCTCTCTCTCTCTCTCTCTCTCTCTCTCTCTTTCTCTCTCTCTCTCTCTCTCTCTCTCACACACACACACACACACACACACACACACACACACACACACACTCTGTCACACATACACTGCAGCGCTGGGTATATTTAGTTGAGTCAGGGTGTTCTGATGCAGTAGAAGTTAAGTGGATTTCCACATGGGGGATATAAGTTGATCAAGAGACCACATGAGTTGTGAAAAAGACCAACAATATGTCTTGTGATCTTCTCTTTTTGTAAAATTGTAACATTTTTTTTCTTTTGTTAATGAATTTAATTGATTGATTGTAAAATTAAAATGTGGCCCAGTCGAAGTTCACCAAAAAACAAAAAATTGAAAACTATTTATTTATTTATTTATTTATCTGTAGCAATTTCTCTGTATCTATTTTTAGTTTAAATTAATTTTAAACCTTTTTTGTTTTGTTTATTTATTTATTTATTTTTAATAGTGGAACACTCAATTCTGTTACTATTTGTTCTTTGAATAATGTTAAACCTTTTTTACATTTAATTTTATTTTATTTTGCATTAGGGAACACTTGATTCTGTTACTGTTTTTGTTTAAATTATTGTTAAACCTTGTATTTACTTATTTATTTATTTTATTTTATTTATATATTTTTTATGTTTTTTTTTTTTTTAAGTTTTTAATAAGGGAAGGTTTGATTCTGTTTTAATTGTTGTTTCAATTGTTCTTAAACCTTATTTTATTTATTTATTTATTTTTATTATTTTGAAAAAGGGAACACTTGATTGTTACTCATTTTTGTTTAAATTATTATTATTAATTATACAGTAAACCTCCTATTTATTTTTATGTATTTATTTTATTATGTATTATTTACATTTTATTTTATTTTTTATCATTTATTTTTATTATTATCATTATTTTAAAAAGGGAATGTTTGATTCTGTTACTAATTGTTGTTTAAGTTATTTTTAAACCTTTTTATTTTATTTTATTTGAGTTATTTTGAATGAGGGAACGCTTGATTGTTACTAATTTTCGTTTAAATTATTTATTTATTTATATCATTATTTGTATTTTATTTTTTATTATTTTATTTTACAATTTGTTTTAATAAGGGAACATTCAATTGTGTTAATAATTGTTGTTTAAATTATTGTTAGAGCCTTTAAACCACTAACAGAGTTGACAATGTTAGACAATATCATAACAATAACATTGTAGAATTTTCTTAGTTTTAGTGTTTTTATAGTGAAATGTTGTTCTTAACTGCTTTCGTGAAATTCACCCATGATTGTGATACAAATATAGCAACATCCAGTGGAACACAAAACTCAATCCTTTAAAAAAATGGGGACGACAGTGGAGAAAAGCTAGACCAAAAGAAAAAATGAGAGCAGGAAAAGAGCTTCGCAGAGCAGTTCAGGAGGCTCTTTGGCTGGAAGTGATCAGTCTTTCTGACATCTCATAATGTTTCTGTTCTGCACTCAATTCAGCTACACTCTCCACATATTTTTCACTTGGACACACATGTAAAAGCACTAACACACACACACACACGCACAGTGTATTATGCAAGCTTGTTCTGAAAGATATAATGCAGAGTCATAACATGTACTAAAAAAGGGTAGACTGGCAATCATTTCTTTTATTTAAGTCATCAATAATCTCTGGAGGACATGATCTGCTCTCATAAAAACTGTTCATGCAATAAATTATTAAATTAAATTAAATTAAATTAAATTAAATTAAATTAAATTAAATTAAATTAAATTAAATTAAATTAAATTAAATTAAATTAAAAACGCTACAAATTTAATAAATAAAAAATTTAATTAAATAATATAATAAAATAAAATGATGAATAAAATACTTATTAAAAAATGAAAATAAAATAAAATATTACATGAAATATAATCTATAATAAAATAAAATAAATAAAATTTATTTTATTTTTAAAATTAATTAAATAAAAACATTAAATAAAAACATGAGAAGCACTATGTACCCATATAATAATTGTAAAACCCAACATTTTTACAAAATTGAATACTATTGTATTAGAAAGCGTGTCATAATTCATTATTGATTTTAAATTTATTTATTACAGTAAAATGTAAACAAATAATAATAACAGTAATAATAATCAGCATTTGAATGTACAGTGCTTCTAACGTTCCTTATAAAAAGCATCTATACTGTTTCTTGAAAAAAGGGCAAAGTTATAGTATGAATTATAAATAAAAATAATATTAATAAATAATTTTTTACAATGCCTTTTTAACATTTTTAATGTTTATTTTAATCAAATGTTTGTCACGTTTTACTTGCAAATCTTGTTTAACCATATTAACTCTATTCTAGAATTATTGTAATCATAAATTTATATTTTATTCACATTTTTATTTATTTGTTTCTTTTATGCTAATGTGCGGTTATTATTTGTTAACTTTTTTCGTTACTTAAATTAAATCATTATTTTATCTCTCTCTAAACATTTTTATACACTCTTCTATGCACCTCTCATATGTGGACTCAAATAAATAAAAAACAAAATTAACTGCATAAAAATTGTTTAATTATTATGAAATGTTATATTAATAACTATTAACTAAAATAATAATTTATGGGGTGACGCGGTGGCACAGTAGGTAGTGTTGTTGTCACACAGCAAGAAGGCTGCTGGTTAAAGCCTCGGCTGGGTCAGTTGGCATTTCTGTGTGGAGTTTGCGTGTTCTTCCAAAGACATGCAGTATAGGTGAATTGGGTAAGAAATTGTCCAGAGTGTATGTGTGTGTGAATGATGAGTGTGTACGGCTGTTTCCCAGTGATGGGTTGCGGCTGGAAGGGCATCCGCTGCGTAAAACATATGCTGGAAAAGTTGGCGATTCATTCCGCTGTGGCGACCCCAGATTAATAAAAGGACTAAACCGAAAAGAAAATGAATGAATGAATGAATAATTATTTTATTATTATTATTATACATTTAAAAGATGCATGTGCTTTGGATTAAATAATTACATTAAAAGACATATTTACAAATGAGATACATGTACACAGCATTGACACATAATCCAACCCTATTTATAATGATTACAATAATCGGACCATATGATTTCAGGATCTGCTTTTTTCATAGCACAAGATGTTTTCTTAGTTGAAATGAATTTTTTATTAATTTTATTACAAATTACAGTAAAAAAGGCAACAATTATATTTTTTAAAGTATTGATAATATCAACCTTAACACATACAATGAATTAAAAAAACATCAACAAATAAAAAGGTAATAATAATATGGCTCAACAGAAACTACAATGTACAATCAGTATAGCACAATACACTCTACTTTAAACTAGGAACGGAAAAGAATCAGTTCAGCAGTAGTGAAAAGCAGATCAAGCAGAGCAATGGTTTGTTCTGTAGACTATTAAAAAAATATTGGTTTAAAGGGGCTAATAATTTTGTCCTTAAAATGGTTTTTAAAAATTTAAATACTGGTTTAATTCTAGCCGAAATACAACAAATAAGACTTTCTCCATAAGAAAAAATATTATCAGACATACTGTGAACATTTTCTTGCTCTGTTATTTGGGAAATATTTTAAAAAGAAAAAAAAAATCAAAGGGGGGCTAATAATTTTGACTTAACTGTGGTAAGTCAGCATCAGGACGTGGATGCACTGGAGTGCTGTTTTTTTTAACAATTCAGTGTTTGCGAATAGATTACATCAAAAAGAACACAAGTAGTATTGACAAACTATACATCAGTCTAAAGCTACAACCCTTAAGCAGTCATTGTAGCTAGTTGATTTTCAATGGGAAGCTTAAAAAAGAATGTATTTGCTAAATTTGTGTAAGTTGTACAGAACATGCTTAGATATGGAATACATACTTATCATCATAATAACAAGACACACACGCATTCATGCTGTACATAATAGTTTATTTTGAAGGGTAGGAATCCTCAGAACAACATCTCATCGAACACATTTAGTCCAAGACACAGTACTGTTGAATTCTGAATGGTTATTTGTTTGTTTATGTCTTTGTTTCTGCCGGAGACATGTTGTTTACATTGTTTACTATGTTACTTACACACGAAAACGGCGTCTTTGTAGTAAAAAGTCAAAGTTATAGCTACTAAAATCTAAACAAAGCAGTTGAGTGTTTTGACGTTCTGCAATTCTATAGTGTAGCTGACGTCCATGTACTGTACATTCATTCATTCATCTTCATTTGGCTTAGTCCCTTTATTCACTAGGGGTCGCCACAGAGGAATAAACCGCCGTCTTATGCAGCACATGTTTAACACAGCGGACACTATTCCAGCTCAAACCAGTGACCTTCTTGCTGTGAGGCAACACTGCTAACCACTGAGCCACCATGTTGCCTCCATGTTTAATGAAGTATATTTGTTGTCCTTGAAGTTTGTGCTGTTTGAGGAAACACACAGTGAGGTCTCAGACCTTTATTTTTTGCACTCTTTCCAGATTGTTGCTGCCATTCTGGCCATCGCTGGAATCGTGATGCTGACGTACGCTGACGGTTTTCACAGTCACTCTGTTATCGGTATTACCCTGGTGGTGGCCTCGGCATCAGCCTCCGCCCTCTATAAGGTAAAAGCATGACCTTTGAGTGTATTTCAGCACTAACGTTTCTTCAGTTTAATGATGTCGTTTGGTTGTGCATCAATACAACTGTACTCCTCAATAACCACACCTCATGGAGTCACATGCGTCTTGCTTTCTGTAATTAAAATGACCTCAATAGTCTATTTGTCTTGATTGATTTGCCATGTGCTTTCGCATCTTGCGGTCATCAGAAAAGGACGGATCAATAAATGAACAGAAGAAAGATCAGTCCTGGTTTATTGTCGTGTACTGAGTTTACACACTCATCTGCTTATGCTTGTTTGGCTGTAAATTATATTGTGGTTGTGTAACATTGATTTAACTGCTGGAAATTAGTTTTAATAAAAGGTCATGCTGCACAACTTAAGGACATTTTATTGTTTTATTTATGAGACTCCCCTGGTTTGCTGTAATAATTAAAGAATATTTTAAATGAAAGCATTACGACTATACAGTATTTATTGTTTAATATTTTTGTTTTTAATATATTTTTCAGTGAATTTGAAAGTTATTGTGTGTCCAAGTGAACAATATCTGGACTGTGAGGCCTTATTATATTATATTATATTATATTATATTATATTATATTATATTATATTGTATTATATTATATTATATTATATTATATTATATTATATTATATTATATTATATTATATTATATTATATTATATTATATTATATTTATTTGAATTGCAACAATTAAAATAACTGGATTAAGAAAACAAGCACATTAAAATAACCAAAAATACCATTTAAAATAAAGTAATTTTAAAAGTTTTGTATTTTTTGGTTCAAGTTGGTTCTTGGAAAAAGTACAGCAAATAAATTTATAAATAATATATAAGTAGGAAAAAAAAAAAATATATATATATATATATATATATGTGTGTGTGTGTGTGTGTGTGTGTGTGTGTGTGTGTGTGTGTGTGTATACTGTATATACTGCACATATACTGTATTATTTTTTATAAATATTTATATATAATATTTTTCATATATATAAATTTATACATATATATATATATATATATCTATATATATATGTGTGTGTGTGTGTGTGTGTGTGTGTGTGTGTGTGTGTGTGTGTGTGTGTGTGTGTGTGTGTGTGTGTGTGTGTGTGTAAATTTATATTAAATTGTATTTATTTATATATTTATTTAAATTTAGAAAATGTATATATTTATTGTCCCTGATCTCACAATGCCCTAATTCAAGGACAATGTAAGAGGGAGTTTTTTTCACCTCTTTCTTCTTAGATGTATCTTATTTCCTCTTTCTAAAGCGACCTATCGTCAACCTGTCTTCCCCTGAAACGTGTAATGTTTATGTATGGTCGGAGGGGTTCAATTTCACTGCATGAAAGTGTATGTGACAAATAAAGGCTTCTGCACCAGCAGTATCATTTTTTAAATCCCAAAACCATACTTAAAAATATATAATAATATTAAAATATACTCTTTTCTTCAAGTTTTTACACAAGAGTTAAAAATGACTTGTACTTAAATGAATACATTTCAAATGATCTATTTTCTAATTATTATTTCAATGCAGATTCATTCCATATAGAAATGATCCTGATTAGGATTTTTTTAAATATAGCTATTTACATAATTTGATAGGAAAATACTTTTATATATATTGCAGAAAAAAATAAATCATGATATTAACCAAAAAACATTAAGTATGAATGCCTTAATTCACACACAGAAAAAAGGGCTGTTAATTTGCTGACCCTCAACCTGTCAAAAAACATTTTCTTTAGCAGAAAATTAAATAAGATTCAAATATATCTTTATTTTAGTTCTAGCTTTTACCATGTAGATTGCGTCAAAGCAGCTTAACATAGAAGATCTAGTCAATTGAAATTGAAACTGTTAGTCCAGTTTTCAGAGTTGAAGTTCAGTTTAGTTCAGTGCAGTGTTGGTTTAATTTTCACTGCTAAAAGTCCAAACACTGAAGAGCAAACCGATCGATCCGCAGCTCCACAAGTCACAAACCAAGCAAGCCAGCTGCGCCAGTGGCGGGGAACAAACTTCACCAATTGAGGAAAGCAAAGGAAAAAAATACTTCAGTTGGGCACGACCATTTCTTCTCTGGCCAAACTTCTTGTGCAGAGCTGCAGTCTCTAGATCAGTGGTCACCAAACTTGTTCCTGGAGGTGCCGGTGTCCAGCAGATTTTAGCTCCAACCCTAATCAAACACACCTTATCAAGCTAATCAAGGTCTTACTAGGTACACTTGAAACATCCCTACAGGTGTGTTGAGGCAAGTTGGAGCTAAACCCTGCAGGGACACCGGCCCTCCAGGACCGAGATTGGTGACCCCTGCTCTAGATAATTCAGTTTTTAAGGCCATGTTTATTTTTGGTAAACTGTCTCTTTAAGTACAACAAATCTAATTCAATCAACAGTATTTATCCCAATGTATACACTATATATAGCTAACAACAAAACAAGAAAAATGTGAATAATCCAGCCTGGGATATCTCCTGGATCAGAACAGACTGACCTGCTGTTTTGTGTGTTTTTCTCAGGTGCTCTTCAAGCTGGTGTTGGGCAGTGCCAAGTTTGGAGAAGCGGCTCTTTTTCTGACCATCGTTGGTGGTGCAAACTTCATCTTCATGAGCTTTGTGCCAGTTTTACTGTACTTCACACATGTGGAATACTTCACATCCTTTGCTGATCTTCCCTGGGCCTGCATGTGTGGAGTCGCTGCTCTCCTACTAGGTGAATAAAACACTGACAGAATAAAAAAAAGTATGATTCTTATATATTATTTCTAAATATATTTGTGCTATAGTATTTATTATAAATACAGTGTTGTGCAACCATTACAATAACTGGATTAGAGAAGCAGACAGGATGTAAAATAGAGTGATACTATTCATCTTTTTCTATTACAGCGTTCAATATTCTGGTGAATTTTGGCATTGCCATTACATACCCAACTCTGATTTCACTCGGCATCGTGCTGAGTGTTCCTGTCAATGCAAGTGAGTAAACTTTTCACAGTATTATCCAGGTCCAGTTTTTAGCTGCCCCGACTTATAATGCAAAAACAGGCCAAATGTGTTTTCATGTATTTCACATATTCTGACTAGAAGCCTTCTCTCACAGCTAAATCAATGTTAGACAATGATGAGTCTGTCAATAGTTAATTACTAATTATAGCAAAAGTAGAACACTTTAAACTTTTAGGTATGTTGAAAGAAACAAGACAATTTTCTGAATGCAATTTTTCAGCCAGGGAATTATGTCAAAGAAATATCTTGTAAATTATATGGTATTATCTCAGCAAAACCATTCAGTATCAGTTAGCGAGAAACATGCAGGGCCAATTTGCCAAAACAATGGACTGATGAAATTTTGGTGGCTTTGGAAAATAAATCAGAGTCATATATCAAATTAATTAGATCCAAAAAAGAAAAGTCATTTGAAAACTGTTATTTAAACCAAAACAATAGCCTACTGACATTTATTTATATACTGTATATGTAGATAAGTGAAAATCTAAAACAAAAAATAAAATTGAATACACACACACACACACACACACATACACAGGGGCGCAACTACACATTTACTGAGGGGTATGCGGGTTCAAATTTTGTGTGATCCCTCTTATTTTGGCAAACTAATAATTAAATTAATTAATTAATAATAAATGAAGACGAATTTTCAGATTAACCATATAACTGTTGACATTATGTATGATTTGACAGTTTATTTTAATAAAAATAAAAACAAATCTAAACAGTTACATCTACATGAACAGTCTAGGCTGTGTGACTGCATGTTATTGTGTTAAATGATTTTGAATTAAACAATAACAATGTTATATTTGTATAAAATGCAAAATAATGTTTTTTAACAATACATATTTATTTATTTTTATTATTTAAAACTTTTAATAAGGATAATTTTAAAAATAGTTTTGGCACAATGGCGCCCCCCCCCCCCCCCCCCCCCATGTGTGGCGCCCCTATGCGCCGCATATACTGCATACCCCCTTTTTGCGCCACTGCACATACACACAATAATACTTTAGCCCAGTGGTTCTCAAACTTTTTTCATCAAGTACCACCTCAGAAAAAAATTGTCTCTCCAAGTACCACCAAAATGAGCAGGATTGAAATACAGTAGCGTAGTAGGCCCAGTAAAGCAGCTACAACTCTGCACAGTTAAAAAAACGTGGCAGATTACCTCAGAAATATAGGCTATATGTCATATATCGCATATTATATACATCATTTTTGATAAATTTTGAAATGTGTGTAGCATGTACATGACATACATCATTCCTCCGCATACCACTAGAAGGAAGCCTGCGTACCACTAGTGGTACACGTACCCCAGTTTGAGAACCACTGCTTTAGCCAATCATCACAAATAAATAATAACCAGTTATTTAGGTTATTATCATTATTATTATTCAGACATTCTCTAGAAAAAAAAAAACTTAAAAAGAAATTACTGGGAAAAAAGTTTTTTTTTTCTCTAATAAACATCACTATATACTCTATATACTTAAGAGTTCATATGCAAAGTGCTCTTAGTGCTGTCTGAATTGCTTTAATTGTCTTTAAAGTGAAATAACTGAACAAAAACAAAAGGGCCTAGAAAAATACTCATTTTAAAAGAAAATTTCAAATGTCATTTACAGATTTTTGCATCTGAGCTCTTTTTTATATATATATATAAATATATACTAAAAAAATAAATAAATAAATATATATATATATATATATATATATATATATACACATATATATTTATATATATATATATATATATATATATATATATATATATATATATATATATATATATATATATATATATATAAATAAACTAAAAATGATCAATTCTTCACTTAATCTTTCACAAATAATGCACATTTTATCGATATTTCAGAAACCGCATTTGAATATTAGCAGTATTGAAGTGAACAAATCTTACTGAAGGTCTTTGAACATGACTGTTTAAAACGACTGTTTAAATTACTCAGACATTTAAATGTAAATACTAAGCATAAGTGAAATGTTAAGTACAGTCATGGTACTCTGACTTTCATAAACTTTCATGGCACCTCATATGCTGGGGGGATTAAAAAAGGTGCTTCATTTGAAATTAATGGTGGTTTCAAGAGTTCACACTTGGATATTGCTTGATGCTATTAGCAGGTTTGGCATGCTGTCCCGGCAGAGAACCCTGAGCTTGGAGATAATTGAGCCCAGGGCTCCCGCCTGGTCGATTGAGCATGTAAGGGGAATACGAGATCAGGTAGTTCTTGAGAGCTCCCCTTGGTAAAGGAAGAAAGGGGGAGAAGGGGTGGATGGATTTTTTTTTTTGGTAAACGGAGATAAGGGAGTAATTTTTTCTAGGCTACTTATAGCAAGTTTGGATTAATCTGATTGGTTAACTAATGATTGTACATGAGAGACCAGCTGCAGTCAATCATAACACATGCTCCTCTCGAAATTAGTTTACGAAACTTTACTATAACTTTACTTTACTTTCCTTAGAGACTTAAAGTCCTTGAATCTGCTGTTCATGAGTGGGAACCCTGTTGTGTCCAATCCTGCCATTATTGTTAAACCAAATGTTGGGGTCAATGTAAATTCCTCTTAAACCTGCTTTACTACTGAGGCTATAGACAGTCAGTGCAGCTTTATCTGAGCATTGATGGCTGTGTTTGAACCGTGTTTATGATTGTTGTTGTAGTGGTGGACCTGTACACCTGTGATATCCACTTCAACACAGTGCGGCTCATCGCTGTGTGCATCATCTGCCTGGGCTTCCTGATGCTCCTGTTACCAGAGGACTGGGACCAGTGTTTGATTGAGCTCGGCACCAAACTCAGAAAGCGGGAACAGCCTGCTGAACCAGCGGACGGCGGAAACAGCTCAGGACTCAACTGGACCCGACGGGCCAGAACCTCCATGTCCACGTTTACTCACTGACATGCAGTCGCTTTCTCCCATTCATGATCAGGTGATGAGGGATGCTGAGAGGATTTTTTTCTTTTTTTTCTTTGAGCAAATCATTTTTGGTGGTTGTTCTAACTGTAAGTGCTTTTGAGTGTTTATGTGAAACTCAAGAGCAGAGGTCCCAAACTATAGTCTTGCGTGCCAAATTTGACCCATGCAGTGGGTCATTAAATGTTAATTGTTTGTCCTTAAATGTTGTCCACGTATCACTCATTTATTCAATTTCATTCAGCTTAGTCCTTTATTTATTTATTAACTATTCTAGCACGTTTTACACAGCGGATGCCCTTACAGGCTGCAATCCAGCACTGTGAAACACCCATACACTCTCACATTTACACACTATGGCCAATTTAGTTTATTCAGTTCACCTATAGCGCATTTCTTTTGACTGTGGGGGAAACCGGAGCTCCCGAAGGGAACCCACACCAACACAGGGAGAACAAACTCCACACAGAAATGCCAACTGGCCCAGCCGGGACTCAAACCAGTAACATTCCTGCTGTGAGGTGACAGCGCTAACCACTAAGCCACCGTGCCACCAGTCCACATATCAATTTTTGTTACTTTAATTTTTAATTTTGTTGCAAATTAAAATACAGTTAAGGGGGGAAAATGACTAGATGAAAATTTTGTTTTTCTAAATTTGTTAAGTTATTGCTTTGAGTAAAATGTTAATATTTGTTTTATTCTATGTAGGTTTAAAAGCGTTGCTTCCAGTTGTGAACATTTCTTTTGTCTTAAAATGGTACCAAAATTGCTCTAAATGGAATATAGGCAGGGTGCGAATTACAGATAGGATTAAGGTGGATTTCAAAACAAGATGTATGGGGGGGGGGGTCTGCCCTTTAATAGTAAGGAATAGCTTTCGCCGATCTCTGACCTGTATCTTTAATATTAATAATTAAAAATGTATAATATAAATTTACATTTGACCCAACACCCACCCACCCATAATGGTTTATACCATTGTGAATGCATAGTCTTACCAATCAATACTAGGAAAAATATCATTCAACAGTCTGAAACTGGCCATTCTAGAGCACCGAAAGACATCTTAAGTAATCACAAAACACGTTTCTTGTGAATTAGGTGTTTATATCAGCTTGTAGCCTAAAAAAGAGAAAAATTAGACACATCATTTGTATAGTTTGACCTCCAGTAACCTCTGAAATAGTCACAAAAACATCAAAACACTCGAAACGTAAACATTTTATAAATAAATTTGATGTAATTTAAATGCATTTATAAATTTGATTCACTGAAGCATGTATTAACAAAGTACTACAAAAAAAGTTGACCCACTCCACCGCCTTCATAGACCTTTTTAGAAATCAACAGATATTAACATTTTACTTAAACCCATATCAAATAAATCCAATGAAACTCAACATTTTCCAGTGGACATTTTTACGGTGTATTATATTTAAATTTAACATATTTCTTGATTTCTACATTTTTACAGGCCAGAAACATGAATGTAAACCAACAGCTGTAGCCAATTTGAAGCTAAAGACTGCATTCTTGCTAAAAAGCAGTCAAAATGAGAAAAGTTTAAGCTGAGAGCACTTTTTACACCAATGCTTGTTCGATGAAGGGAAGTTTCTATTTTTGATGCACTATGGCTTTTCTGGCCATTTTGTTGTCTGATATGTGTAAAAACCAATCTTTTATATTTCAGTATTTTACTTGTTGCATCACAGCGCATCATGGTACAGCTCTGGAAGTTATTGAGACCCCTTCAAAGTAAAATGTTCGTTTGCATTTTGCGTTTCATGATATAAATTATACGGTCTGAAAAACATGGATTAATTTGTATTGTATACAGTTGAAGTCAGAATTATTAGCTCCCTTTTGATTTTTATTTTCTTTTTTAAATATTTCCTAAATGATTTTTAACAGAGCAATGATATTTTCACAGTATGTCTGATAATATTTTTTTCTTCTGGAGAAAGTCTTATTTGTTTTATTTCGGCTAGAATAAAAGCAGTTATTAATTTAAAAAAAAAACATTTTTGGGACAAAATTATTAGCCCCTTTAAGCTATTTTTTTTTTTTTTCGGTAATCTACAGAACAAACCATCGTTATACAACAATTGACCATGGCTGGTCCTACATTAACTAACACATGATTCACCAATCAGACGACTCCCAATTCACTATAAATAACCAAAGTTTCTTAAATTGTTATTTTTGTCTTGAAGAATCCCCCCTTCCAGACCTACTCCTCTCTCTTATTATTATTTTTCCTGTGTAATATATTTTAATTTATTATATTTTTAGTTTTCTATATTTTACAGGCAGTATCTCTCTCTATAGCTATCCCTTTAAGCTGTCATTAACCATAAACAAGTCAGGGGAGTTCTTGAGATCTACCGGAGCTAAACTCCCCTCTCGCCCTGCTAAGGGGAGGGAGCCCAGGGCTTGAGTATTTTATAAGCTCATGGCTCAGGGCCAAACATGCTTTTTAATTAATCATCAGCTAAGTTTGAACTCTTGAAATAATATATTTTGAAGAAAATTGGAAACCTGTAACTACTGACTTTCATAGTATTTGTTTTTCCTCCCGTGGAAGTTAATGATTACAATTTTCTAGCTTTCTTCAAAATATCATCTTTTGTGTGCAACACAATACAGAAAAGGTTTGGAACCCTTTGAGGGTGAGTAAATAATAAGTAAATTTTCAATTTGAACCAACCATTTAAGGTTAAAAAAAAACATTTGCAAACTTTAAGACCGTCGTTAAAAAATTTGGTTCATAAAAAATGTGTCTTATGTTGCTACTTGTGTTCAGATTTTAAGACACTTCTCTTGTTTTTTTAAACACTACATCATTTTCCTCTTTAATCTTTTCATTTTTTGACCCCTTTACATATTCATATTTGCTATAATGTAGTGACATTTTAACACCAGCTGTAAACGGGGCCAGAAAATGAATATCTCCAAGTTTGAGACCTCTGCTTAAGAGATCCACACAAGCAATATCTCCAAAAGAAAATGCTTTAACTTCAACTTTGGAGCTCAGAGAAAGCCATATCTCCCCTCTACAGCTCATATTATAACACAAATTGCTCAATAAAAACATGTGCCAAACATTGATATAGACTTTAAGAACTGCAACTTGTGCCGTCTTTGAATACAAAAACAGCTCTACTTGTAACCAATGCATATGAGAGATTCCCCTTTCCAAACTGTGAATGAAGCTTTTCTGGATGGTCTTTGAGAAAGTGTGAAGCTGGAATGCACTGTTGCCGTGGCTTTCTGGGATGTCAATGCAAATATCAGGTGTGCGTCGCAGAAACGGATTTCCTCTTGTGAATGAAGATTTCTGCAGAGTATCGACAGCATCCGGACTGTTCATATTGAAGCTCTACTTTGTTTCCATCATCGTTTTTGGTAGCACCTTCAAAGAAGCCCATGCTCATAATGAATTAAAAGCCTGCTTATAATCAATAAAATTCTATGAAAGTATCTATAAAGACACAACAAAACCTTAAAGCTACATTTATTATAGTGTTATTAGTACTTAGTCGTGATGCAGTTCATTTTTACATATGTATGTTCATAACATGTTATAAACTGATTTGTGAGTATCAATTAGTCTGTCATGATTGTATTTATAAAGATGCAGTCTGATATGTTAAAATGTTACATTTTAGTCACAAAGACTCATTGGTAAGTTGATAAGTGATTGGTTTTATGTTGTTAATTAGAAGCCTGTTGCCTTATAAATAATTATTGTGAGTCATGATACAGTTAATAACCTTTATAAAAGCATCATTGATGGCTTTAAGTAGTGAAAACAGGATGTTAAGAAAACATGCATCGCCTGACAGAATATGCAGATGTTTTTTGCTATTCTTAAATATATATATTTTTAATTTTCAGAATGAATCTGAGAGTATAGTAAATAAAAACAAAACGTAAATAATCTTGAACTTTTTTGTTAGGTTACCAATACATTTGTTTGCTAAACAAAGCAAGTCTTTGGTATAAAAGACATAAATATTTCGTTACAAACTGTATTGTAAACAAATAGTATAAATATTTTCATATTATTAAATGATAAACCTGAAATTAATCTAAAAATGGAATAAAGATACATTTACAAAAGTAAATAAATAGACTCAATTATGGACGAAAAATCATTAAAAAAAATCTGTGGATTTCATCACGTATTCAGAATCTATGTTGGATTTGTATTTTACAGAAAGTGTGGTTCTATCAAACACACATTACCTTATCATTAATAATACACCGAAATGTAAAATAGACACATATTTTCTGCATCTTCTGAATTATAAGTGACTAATTATTGCTTACAAATCTGTCTAAATAGACTATGGGCTAAAAATCAGTGCAAATCTGTGGATTTCTGCATGCGCAGATCCCATGTGGGAGTTCGTATTTTACATAAAGAGTTTCTACTAAACGTACATTACCTTACATTTAAATAGACACAAAAACATAAAGAACAGACACATATTTGCTGCATCTTATGAATTATGACAGACTAATTATTATACTTAAAAACACAGTAAACAGACTCAATGATTGGCTAAAAACTGGTGGAAGTCTGCAGATTTCTGCGCACACATTTTGTCTGGGAATTCATATTTTACATAAAGCTTCTACCAAACATACATTACCTTACATTTAAATAGACACAAAAACATAATATAGAGACAAATTTTCTGCATCTTATGAATTATAACTAATTATTGCTTAAAAACCAGTGTATAATTTCCCAGAGATGGGTTGTGGCTGGAAGGGCATCCGCTGCGTAAAACTTGCTGGATAAGTTGGCGGTTCATTCTTCTGTGGCGACCCCGGATTAATAAAGGAACTAAGCCGACAAGAAAATGAATGAATGAATCAGCGTATAATATGAACATGGCCAGCAGGCACAAGACATCAACATGATGTCAGATTGACGTTGTACCCCAACATCGTGCATTTCAGGTGGAAATCAGATTGATGTCAGAACCCAATGTCGGACAGATGTTAAATTTTGGTTACTTTCTAATGTAACCTAAAAACAACACAATAACAACGTCTAATGATGTTACAGCATGACGTCTATCAGACGTTGGATTTTGGTTGCCATACCTGACGAATAATTGTCAGTATTTGAAGTCAATATGACGTTGGGTTAAGATGCTGGCTCGATGTTGGATTTTGGTCACTTTCCAACACAATCTAAAAATCAACCAAATATCAACGTCATTTGACATCAATATAACGTTGTCCTTGGATGCTGGTTAGTCATTGAATTTTGGCCACCTGACATCACGATCTAAATCTAGCCTAATATTAATATTGTATTCCTGCTGGGTTTATATTGATAGCATTACTATTTACTATTAAATTGTAAATTTAATGTATTATTTAATGTATTAATTATAAATGAAGCTATAACTTTCATTATAATACAGCAGGGGTTCCCAAACCTTTCCTCCCATGACCCCAAAATAACAATTTCAGTGACTCTTGACCCACGATGTCCTCTGTGGTGGTTATATAAACTTTGCACACAACGGCACACACATACAGTACCAATAGGCCTAAGTCTAGTCATCATTTCATTTTGAAGAACGCTGCTCGGAGACCACACTTCATGTTCAGCTGTGGCCTGTATTTATTTTTTATGTATGTGAGTGCCGTAAAGGTGTGAGAAAATCAATGCCCTGTGTCTTTAATATAATGGGGAATATTCCACATTGGGAACCACCGTAATAAAGTATAGGTTTTGTTGTGTCTTTATAGACACATTTATAGAATTGTTATGCTTGATTATAAGTAGTTATAAATGGTGATGTTTTTAATTATGAGCATTGGTTTCATAGAAAATGTTACCTGTATTTTGTTTTATTTCCGAGTCACATGTGAACCACTGTGAGGACACTTCAGGCAAAACCGAAAAGGCCAGTCTTCAGTGAGTTGCATTACCGTCAAGGATGCCGTGTTCATCCTGTGAATGTATGAGCTTTATTGAAAAGTGCACACTCTACACCATGTGCTTTTGCAGAAGGTGGTGAGAGGAACTGATACGCCACCTTTACATACACAAAAACACTTACTGCACTTCATAAGACTCCTTCCTTGAACACTGCATCGCAATTTAATTTGATTTCTCTTTTTTTAAAATAAATCTTACGGACCGTTCCATTGGGAGGGACTTTGTTCTACAGGAAAAAAACGCATGCAGAAAAAATGCCAATAAACACTAGATGACGGCTTCACTGCCTTTTCTTTGAGTTGCAATAGGATCTCATCAGCACTGTCTCCCATTGTCATTGTTACGATGACAATAAATATGATATTGTATTCCTCTGGGATTATTGCTAGACATTATTGTAAACCTTTGTAAGGAATGATTTTTACACTGAAATGCATTATGATCACATTTGAGGAAAATGGCGACAAAAAAATTAATAAATGAAAATGTACATTTAATAGATCTGCTTTGTCTGCATTCACGTATTATTTACTGTAGAATGTGAAGAAATCAAACAGGCTCATGCAGAGAATTGATTAACCCAGGCTCATTATGAAGACGTACTCAGGTCTACATTTCTGGGGACAGCGAAATACGTAACTGGAGGTACATCACAGTTTTTGATTTCGCAAATCCACCAGAAGAGGCTGTCTAAAGTTTTTGATAATCTCATTATTTCTTTTTGGCATCCTCTTTTCGCATAAATCCACGAGAGGGTGCATTATACACTTCAGCTGACCAGGCCAGCTTGCTGACTGACTGACCCAACCACCCCTTCCCTAAAACCAACCAATAGTGTTTTCGATTCCTTTACTAGAAAAAGAAATGTTGTGGTGGCTGCATGATTTCACCATTTTTTTTTTTTTTTTTTGCATGTTGTGTTGTTGATTTATTTGGGGTTTTTTTTGCTTTTGTTTTATCTGGTTTCTGGAACCGTTCTTCACTGGACTCGAACCTCGTTGTTACGGTCAACTGCACTTCGCGTCTCAATTCCGTCAGTGTACAGGATGAGCCACTGGGCAAACTGGTAACACTGGAAAAGCCGTCCATACAGAGGCAAGTGGTCAGCTGGTAGCGCTAAAAGGAACAGAAGCCATCAGCCCTCGTAGCATTATTTTAAAGACGAAATGCATCCATACCACCCTCTGGCTACATTATTAACGCTCTCCAGAAGTGTAGACGTTTTGTTTTTTACTTAATTTGCCTGTAGCTGTTGATTTATATTTTAAAAATGATCAAGGACTACGATTTACTGAACAAAAAAGTCACCTACATCTTGAATGACAGAATAAACTTTTTTTTTAAGCATTCCTTTAAAAAATTTAACAATCAGTTCCTGGCAATAGTCTGTATATTTATACATATTTTCTAAAATTTAAATTGAAAATAGAACAGAAACAAAAAAGACAAAAATAATGTCACCAAAGCGTGACCTCAGGTTTACTCAAATATAAAGGAGCTCCACCTTAACAAATAAAAAAAAAGATTTCAAGTTTAAAAGCTCAAGTAAATGTGAATTATTGATATAAATGCTTTTACAAAAATGACCTTTAACTTTTTCTGCTTAAACATTTCTGATCCACTGTCTATTTTATAATTTTAAGAAATATTTCAGTGCATTTTGTATACATTTTATTTCCTTTTCTAGAAATATCTAAAATGTATGAATATATTTAACTATTAAAAAAAACATTAGATCACATCAAATGGTACTGTATGTATTAAAAAAGAATGTAAAAGATAAACTATATAAAATATTGTTACTACCTGAATTTCAAAAGCAGTCTTTTTAAAATTATGGTTAAAAAAATGTATGATAGGTTTAATTTATCTCAGAAAAACTAAATTGAGCACATTGTATAATTTTTTTATATACACTTTTATTGTTTAGAAGGCCTGTTTTATATTTGAACCATACTTTACCCATAGAAAACAACATACATATATATATATATATATATATATATATATATATATATATATATATATATATATATATATAATACACATTCTGACGTTCTCCTTAATAATATAATTTCATTAAAGTATTATTTGCAAACACTAAATAGCGAAATCATATTTGCAGCCAATGACTATTAACAAGTCGTATTTAACAAGTCGTGTGTTCAACAAGGCTGCATAAATTTAGTTTTAAAAATACAGTAAGAACAGCAGTATTATTAAATATTATTGCAACTTAGTTAATTCAATATTTGTGACCCTCGTCTTACAGAATTATTAGCCCCCCTTTGGTTTATTTATTTATTTTATATATTTCCTAAATGATGTTTAACAGAGTAAGGAAATTATCACAGTATGTTGGATAATATTTCTTCTTCTAGAGAAAGTCTTATTTGTTTAATTTCATCAAGAATAAAAGCAGTTTTTAATTTTTTTTTAAAAACGTTTTAAGGTCAAAATTATTAGCCCCTTAAACCTATTTATTTTTCTGATAGTCTACAGAACAAACCATTGTTATACAATAACTAGCCTAATTACCCCAACCTGCCTAGTTAACCTAATTAACCTAGTTAAGCCTTTAAATGTTACTTTAATCTGTATAGAAGTGTCTTTAAAAATATCTAATCAAATATTATGTGCAAAGATAAAATAAATCAGTTATTATAAATGAGTTATTACAACTATTATGTTTAGAAATGTGTTGAAAAACTCTTCTCTCTGTCAAACAGAAATTTGGGAAAAAATAAACGGGGGCTAATAATTCATATTAATATATATATATATATATATATATATATATATATATATATATATATATATATATGTGTGTGTATATAATTTTTTTTTTCATTAGTCATTATAATATTGAAAATATTTTGTACATTTACTTGTGTAAATGTACTGAAATAATATTTGATTATATCTATACATTGCTAAAATCTTAATGACAATGTTAAATGCAATTTTCTTATTATTTAAATATATTTCTTATTATTTTAGTTTTTTTAATCATCAGAATCCAGATATTCAAATCACATGGAAATATTATTTATTCCAACTTCAATAATTGGACATTTATGATTGGTTTTGTGATCCAGGGTCCTGTGATGGCAAAGCTGTTTTTATTTTCAAGAAATGTCATGTTCCACTCTTACAGTGATCTGTCCATAAAAGAAGGTAGCTTGTTTCTTCTTAGTAGCAGCAGAATAAGGGAGCCTGCTCCTCTCGCGCTGTTTGGAAGGAACCTGCAGGTGGTCCACCCCCCTCAACCGCTCTCCACAACATTTATCACAAACAGGACGACAAGAATTAGCCAACGGAGAACTATTGAGCTGCTCGCTGAAACTATTGGGAAACTGTGAGCTGAGGCTGATAACAGAGGGATAGGACAAATCTGCTCCATTTCTTGAGGAGCTTTGGGTCGTCCCATTGGTTGGGTCACTCTCACCTCCACCTACAGACCTCTCCTTTTCTCCACTTCCCAAAATGCTCCTCAACCTTCCATGGATTTTCCATCGCAAGCTCTGCAAGGCCCCTTGGAAGCGCTTACTGAGAAGCGCATACAGAAGCGGGTTGATATCTGAATTAAACAGCACCAGCCAATAGGAGAAAGTGACTGCTGATGGAGGGATGAGGCTGTTGGGTCGGGACAGGGAGGTTTCAATGGCCTGCACCAGAGCTACACTAATATAGGGTGTCCAGCACAAAAAGAAAGCACCAATAATCAAAAACAACCTCAGGACTCCATGATGGTGAGGTTGATTGAGATGCTGAGGGTGGATCTGAGTCAGGAAGGACTGAAAACGTCCAATAGCTGGTGCATCTGGAGCATTCTCTTCCAATCGATCCATCACAAACCTCCCGCTTACATGGTAGACTAGTCTGGATGGAGTGTTGGAGTCTATGAGTGAGAGATTCAGGTTGGATCTACTGCGCTGGAGATGTTCTTCTAGGCTGTGGATCCTTCTAGAGTGGTACCGTGCGACTCGGACAATCTTTGCGTAACAGAAGAGGATGATTACAGCTGGGAGAAGGAAGGAAAAGCAGGCTGTTGTGACCGTATAGCTTGGACTGTTGGCCCAGATGACGGTGCAGCTGAAGACTGGAGCCACATAAGCAATGGTGCTCCAGCCCAGGAGAGGAGGACAGCAGGTCACCATAGCCTGCAGCCAGATCCATAGCACCGCTGAACCCGCTCTCCATACTGTGCAGCGCGAGTCATACCGCAGACAGTCCACGATGGAGAAGTAACGGTCAAGAGCGATAGCAGCGAGTGTTAAGATTGATGCAGTGCAGCAGACTGAGGATGTGTAGCCGACAAACAGACAGAGATTCTGGAAGATCAAGAGAGCAGAACATCTGATGAAAGACCGTAATATGGTGCATGTCATAATTAAAGGTGCTGTATGTAAGTTTGACACCCAGTGGTTGAACTAGGTATAGCACTCTTGGATCAAAACAAATGCAACTCGGGTTGCCAGATTGATGTGAGTGTGCCTGACTATCAAGCCAGCTGATTTAAGGCTGATTTGAAGCGAGTGTTTTCTAATTAAAAGCAACGATAGAAAAATGATTATTTCATACTAAAAGGAATTTGTCCTAATCAACACCTGAAATTTCTATTTTAGAAACGGCTAATATTTCTCACAGGTGAACAACAGGATAAATTATGATCACCTCAGATACACCTCATGTGCTTTATTCAGTGTTAAAGGCTAACAATGTGAGTTTGAATGGCATTTTACATGACATTTATTGCCATACTACTGAAAGCAGCAGCAGAGAGTTCACCTCAGATCTTGAAAATAAAATAAACTGTTGAAAATTGAACTTTAGAGCTGTGAAATAATGCAAACCAACACATGTCAGTAATTCAGCATCTACATTTAATGATGTTATAGAGGGTTAATATGTATTATTACATTATAAACCTTCCCATTTCCTGAGTGAGTGCATATTCTGTGCTGAATAGCTATATTCAAATTTCTGTTGTGTTTCGTCTGGTGCAAACAGCCAAATTGCTTATCATTGCTTATTGCGTGTTGTTAGGACACGAGGTTACAATGTAACCTGCTCACCTAATGTTTACGTTCTTAATATTTATATTATTTGCTAATTAATAACCTCAATGAATAACCACTGCTTCACATGAAAAAAAATTCTTGTTCAGAAAAATATATTATATTTGGCAATGGTGCCTATAGTCCCTAACCTGATTTCAGCAGGTAGGACATGTTCCTGGATTAACATTTGTGTTGATTCTGGAACCAGTGTCGGTCCATCAAACAAGCAATATAGGCGGTTGCCAAGGGCCCCACTTTTCTTGGAGGGCCCCACGACCGCTGCTATTGTATATTTATTCTGAATGTATAAGCGATGATGAGGGTGTACATATAAATCATGACCAACGCACATTGCGCAATCCACGTATATCTCCAAAATGCACACGTTTGATATAAACCCGAAAAAGTGTTTTAAAGTCTTAAGTAATATAACCTCATAAGTGCCCAATCTCTGCCCTTCTTCATTTAGTTATTAATTTATTTGTATTTTGTATCACACTTGCACTTTCATTTACAATCTTTGCAAATGCATTTGTTTAAATGCGAGTAATAGGTTAAATATATTTTAGTTAATAAAAAAGTATACACTTGAATATTAAAACTTTTGTACTATGTTCTTACTGTTTTTACACCTGTGGGCCCCTTTTTTTGCCTATAAGGCCCCTCAACCCTACCGGCCGGCACTGCCCGGAACAACATTGCAGTCAGCCAGTTGGCATTAGGGGATACAATAACCATTTGAGTTACGTTTATTGTTTTTCAACTAATTTCCCCCTCTGATTTGTGGATAATTTAAAGTTATGATTGGGTTTAGGTGTAGGAATAGATTCATTACTTTTTTCAAACAAAAATGATGTTCCAGGATCAACATATATGTTAATCCAGGATAATTGCATACTTGACAAAATCATGACGTGCATAGGCTAGTTTAGTGGTGCTAGTGCTTTAAAAGTCACTGTTTAAAGAATAAAGGTTGAGTGTAAATCATCTCATACTAACTTTGCAGTTGACCCATCCGTTGTTCATAATGGAAACTGCCACAAAAGGCATGACTCCGATACCCACAAAGAAATCACTAATGGCCAGATTAATGATGAGGACAGAGGTGACAGTGTGGAAGGTTTTAGTGGCTGCCACAATCACAATGACCAGGGCATTTCCTGATGAGAGAGAAGAACAGCACAATAACAGAATAAATACATTTAAATTAAACTTTTTTATTAAAATGTGTTTATTAGTAGTAGTAGTAGTAATATTGTTAAGTATAAAAACAGTAATAAATGTACAGATAATAAATAAAAATTATAAAAAAAATATTTTATTAAACAAAGTGGAAAGTGTCATTCTGTAAAACTATAGACCAATGACCAAACTACATCACACATGACGACACAGGGGTCCCCGGTTGCAAAAAAAAAGACCGGCTACAATAGTAAACATGTCGTGTTGTGCGGTAGGTCAAATTCGAAAGTTCAAAAATAGAAAACTTAACTTTTACCATACACCACACTGCTTTAATGCACCTGCAGACGTCTTTGGCTAAAATAGAGCTGAATAAAGTGACGACCAAATTAAAAATGCTTGACTCTGCAGTTCTCATGTTATATAAGGTAAGTTTACGCTATGTGAATCATACACATTACTCATTTTTGATTACAGAAATGATTTTAGCAAAAACAGTTACTTATGGTTCATTAAACTGCAGACACTGAATTCAAAGAATAAAACATGAAAGTGTAAGTGATTAAGGACAACGTGTGACACACTCCCTATGTTGTTTACCACGGCACTTTGAATATTCGGTCTGAAATAACCTACAAGTGTGACTTGAAAACAATATTATTAACGCTGTTTATTTGACTGTGAACAATTTTGTAGTTTAATAGTCATTGGCTGCAAATATGATTTCGCTATTTAGGGTTTGCAAATAATACTTTAATGAAATTATATTATTAAGGAGAACGTCAGAATGTGTATTTTATATATATATATATATATATATATATATATATATATATATATATATATATATATATATATATATATATATATATATATATAATGTGTAATCAATATATCTTATTTCTAAGACAACAACAAACTGTACCGCATCGGATGTCATTCCCTCGCTAACGTTACAAATGCTAGCGCTCCCGGTTTCTTTCAGCCACCTCCCTGCGCGTCCATCCTGATTGTTTACAAACATGGTAATAGGTCTATAGTTTTGCTGACTATAAAGAACAACAGTACAATATCAAGATGAATACATTTCAATTAAATCCTATTGATTTCTACAGATTTATTGAATTATATATAGAGAGAGAAAAAAACATGGTTGTTTACCTCCGAGTACTGCGGAGAAGTACGTTACGTTGCACAAATTAAAAAAATAAATATCTACAAATAACTAACTTTATAGTAAATATGATAATGAGTTAACAGAATACGCATTCAAGACAACTGAATATTATAATGCGTTCCTGGATTATATTATTGTAATGCGAATACATATATCAAATCCAAAATTAAGTTTCGTTCGTTCTGCGCTCCCCCGTGACGTTGTTTGAGTTGGTTTCGGCCGGCTGAATAAATTCGCACCGCGCATCTTGCTACGCTGTTTGTCAGTCGAGATTGGAACGAGAAACGCAGACATGCCTCGTCCAGTCAAACTCACGGCAACGCTACAAAAGTGCTTGTAAGTGTGCGATAAATATTGGGGTAAAAGTTGGCTTTATATTAGCACATTTGGGTATTCACGTTTTTAACAATTTCAAAAACGTCTTTGCCTGTGTTAAATGGGGAAATCATATTAACAATGACTAAGTATGGGGCGGGAGTTCTTTGATTGGTATTTGGTTACTAATACAGTATGAATGTATCACACCTTTCTGAAACAATAAAAGTGTTAAAAAAAAACAATGACTAAAGTACCACATTGTTCAAAGTTAAAGAGGGCTAGCGTTAATGCTGTGAAGAAGTCATGCTTACATTTGATTAAACTCAGACCGAAAGTTCGAAGTAGCGTAAACGTTGTACTGGTAAAGAAAAAAAAGTAGGCCTACCACGATAGAGCGTGGCATTCGGACCTTCTTCCATCGAGATATGCGTGTTATCAGGTTTTTTTTTTCTTAAAAACGTAGAGTACAGTTACATTGTTTTGCTTAGAGTACATCTTGATAATTAATCTGCATTACCTATTTTAATGTTGCTTTACTGTTTTGAATGGGAAAGTCCAAATGTGCAAATCTAAAACCAACTTTACCTGAATCGAATTAATAAAACATTGATGGTAACAAACAAAACGTGTGGCGTTTTATTACCTATGTAAACCTTGAATATAAGAAACCAAAATGAAGCGTGAATGGAGTAAGATAGTTAACCAGACTTTTAGCACAGTAAACTTTGCATGAATGTATGAATAAACTTAACTTGAGGGGGAAATCATGTTTAATTCGAAATTGTGCATTTCAAATGTTCAATTTGTTATATTCAACATCTTATTTTCAAGGTGAAAAGATTAAATGATAAAACAGGTTTTTCTTCTCCATAAGTAGTTTATATATATTTTTTTCTTATTAATCAATTTCGTATATTAAAATGTTAAATGTAAATCAATCTCTGAGCAATCGCCAAAGCTTTATAATAAAATAACTGATCATTTACCAGCTTTTATTGTTTATCAATGCCACAATATAAGGCATGAGGATACTTGTTTTTCTACATACAAAAGGTTACGGACAACTTCGAATGTAAATGCATTTAAAAGTGAATTATTGAAACAAAATTGGAGAACAGTATATAAAGAGGTTGATAGTGATAACGCATATAAAACATTTTTAAATATTTTCTTTTTATTATACGATTAACATTGCTCAATATTACATTTTATTCATATACCAAAAGCAAATAATAAGTCCATGCATTACAAAAGGTTTGTTAAATGCATGCAAAAAGAAAAAATACACTTTACAGATAATTTATTAAGTATCGTACCCCAGAGGCTGAAATTATATATTAAAGGTTAAAAAAAAATTAGTATTATTTTTAGAAGAAGTTAAAAGAAATGCTACAATAAAATATGAGATAATAATATAAATAATTTGAAAGGCTTATGGAATATTTTAAATAAAATTATAAGAAATGGAACTGATAAAAAAATGAAGTTATCCTGAATATTTCATTGAAAGTGACCATAAAATAAATAATAAAGAATAAATAGTAAACTCTTACAATAAGTTCTTTGCAAATGTGGGACCAGAATTGGTTAAAAATATCAATGATTTATCAATGATCCACCCCTAAAAACAGAAGGGGTGGATATTGATTTGATTGAGAGAAATCCCAATTCTAGTTTTGTTAAAGTAGTAGATAAAAAGGAAATAATAGGTATTGTAAAGAAATGTAAAAATAAATTGTCCATAGATTGGAATAATATTGATATGAATATAATTAAGAAAGTGATTGAAGGCATTGTCGAACCATTAACCTATATTTGTAATAGATCTTTCCAATCTGGTAAATTTCCAAATAAAATTAAAATTGCAAAGGTAATTCCACATTATAAATCTATTATACATCTAGAGATAAACAACATTTTACAAATTATAGGCCAGTTTCTACACAATCTCAGTTATCAAAAATTGTAGAAAAACTTGTTGACAGGCTTAACAATTTCATAGAAACGCATAACCTTTTACCTAATGAAGAATATGGGTTCAGGAAATATAGATCAACATCTCTGGCAATAACAGAAATTGAGGAAATTACTACTAAGATTTTTTTTATATATATATAGATTTAAAGACGGCATTTGATACAATAGATCATAATATTTGATAAATAATATAAAAAGGTATGGTATTAGAGGTGTAGCCTTGGACTGGATAGTCATTATTTAAAAAATAAGCAATAGTTCGTTGAAATTGGCAACCATAAATCATATCGAAATGTAAAGTGTGGCATACCACAAGGATCAGTTTTAGGTCCAATATTGTTTAGAATTTACATTAATGATATGTGTAAGATATCAGAGTTGTTTAAGTTTATTCTTTTGCAGATGATACAAGTGTCTTTTGTTCTGGGGATAATTTACCAAAACTTATGGAGTTGATTAAAACAGAAATAAATAATTTACAAGGACCTATCAGTAACTAGCAGCAGCAGTGGATTGAGTGCTGGATGGTGATGTTGAGTGCGGTTCCCTGCTAAGTGGCATCAGGAGGAATGATGCTCTCACTCGCCCTCGCTCAGCTCAGTCACTCTTACCATGGCGAATCCCTGCCCAATGATCTCTCACTGTTCAGTGGAGTGAAGTGGTGATGCTTCAATTGGTGGGTGACGGTGAGTCTGAATTAAGTGTTTTAGTAGACTATCAATATGCTCCTCTAGATGTTAATGTGCTCCTAATCTACCAAATTCACATTTAGATGAGATGTAAGCATTTATACCTCAGCTACTCATCAATTCTAAAAGTACTGGAATTCACAGCTTATTTCCTGTTCTGCTTAGACTGAATAATTATAATATTGAAATGAACTATTGCAAAGAAGTTAATAATAAAATATAATAATAAAAGCATCAACACAAAAGTACACTAACAATACAATATATATTAAAAAAACAATAATACATTAAAAGGGCCTATCAAATACTAGCAGCAGCTCAGTGAATTGTAGTGTAGTGAGTCTGTCTGGATGGTGATGTTGAGTGCTGTTCCCCCACACCATATCTATTGGTATGACCCGTGGCATCAGGTGGGGTGGCGCTCTTACTCGCCCTCGCTCAGCTCAGTCACTCTTACCATGGCGAATCCCTGCCCAATGATCTCTCACTCTTTAGTGGAGTGAAGTGGTGATGCTTCAATTGGTGGGTGACGACGGGCTGGGATCCAGTTCAGCTTCTCGCCAGTTTAACAGCAACCAAAGATTATGTCTGAGTCTGAATCAAAGTGTGTTAGTAGGTTAGAATTAAAACAACTACTAACACCTTAGGCTATCAATATGCTCCTCTAGATGTTAAATGTTTGTGTGCTCCTAAACTACCAAATTCACTTTTAGATAAGAAGATATGAGCATTTACTTCAGCTTCTCATCTATTCTAAGAGGACTTAAATTCACAACTTCTTTTCTGCTCTGAATGAATAATTATAACATTGAAATAAACTACTGCAAAGAAATGAATAATAAAAACTTTACATTAATACAAAAATACACTAAGAAAATAATATAAAACAACAATAATAAATTATAGGGACTTTTCAGAAACTAGCAGCAGCTCAGTGAATTGGTAGTGTAGTGTTGAATCTGTCTGGATGGTGATGTTAAGTGCTGTTCCCCCACACCATATCTATTGGTACGACCCGTGGCGTCAGGTGGGGTGGCGCTCTTACTCGCCCTCGCTCAGCTCAGTCACTCTTACCATGGCGAATCCCTGCCCAATGATCTCTCACTCTTTAGTGGAGTGAAGTGGTGATGCTTCAATTGGTGGGTGACGGTGGGCTGGGGTCCAGTTCAGCTTCTCGCCAGTTTAACAGCAACCAAAAATTATGTCTGAGTCTGAATCAAAGTGCTTTAGTAGGTTTGAACAAACTAACACCTTAGTAGGCTATCAATATGCTCCTCTAGATGTTAAATGTTAGTGTGCTCCTGTACTAAATTCACTTTTAGATTAGATTATATGAGCATTTACTTCAGCTTCTCATCTGTTCTAAGATGAATTAAATTCACAACTTCTTTTCTGCTTTGAATGAATGATTATAACATTGAAATGAACTACTGCAAAGAAATGAATAATAAAAGCTTTACATTAATACAAAAATACACAATATAAAACAACCATAATAAATTATAGGGACTTGTCAGAAACTAGCAGCAGCTCAGTGAATTGTAGTGTAGTGAGTCTGTCTGGATGGTGATGTTGAGTGCTGTTCCCCCACACCATATCTATTGGTATGACCCGTGGCGTCAGGTGGGGTGGCGCTCTTACTCGCCCTCGCTCAGCTCAGTCACTCTTACCATGGCGAATCCCTGCCCAATGATCTCTCACTCTTTAGTGGAGTGAAGTGGTGATGCTTCAATTGGTGGGTGACGGTGGGCTGGGGTCCAGTTCAGTGTCTTGCCAGACTAACAGCAACCAAAATGTATTTATTTGCATGTTGTAAATGAGTTTGAATTAAAGTTGAGCAGAGTGCTGCATATTTGAACCATAGTATGGTAAAAGTTTATCATTTGTGTGTGTTTTAAGGCTTGCGATTATGTGTAGCATTTAAAATTTTGAAATTATAACATTTGTAGCTTTAGCAAAGACTAATTGTATTTCATTAATTATAGAATGAAGACGATACAGTGTTATTTAACAGCTGATTAATCAATTTCTCTAGCTGAATACTGCTGAAGTTCCCAGAACATCATTATTTCATTATCTGGTGCTCTATTCTATTTATCTATGCTTGTAATTTGCTTCATTATATTTTATGCAGATACACTCCCCTACAGATATTAATCTAACTAAATGAATTCTTTCCAAGTAGATATTCAACTCATCCGTTTAATATATGTGAGAAAAACTAAATTTATATAGCACTATTTAACACAAACAGAGGTAGACCAAAGTGTGTGGGGGATGGGGGCAGCTGTATGAAATCCAAATGTTTACATTCTTAATCACCTGTTTCTAAAGGTTCTGTTTCTAAAAGTGAGGGGGACATATTCAAGTTTTCAACCTAGATGTAAAAACAGACAGGGATGAAACAGATCTAATATAGAGGAGCAGAGCATTCCACAATCTAGGACCAGCTACTGCGAAGGCACGGTTACCTCTGCATTTCAGCCTCGACCTTGGGATGCGTAACAGTCTCTGGTTAGATGACCGAAAAGACCAACCAGGCTGATGCTCAATCAACATGTCTGACAGATAAGGTGCCAGGCCATTTAGAGATTTAAAAACCAAGAGAAGCGTTTTAAAAGTGACTCGATAGTGCACAGGCAGCCAGTGCAAAGAGCATAAAACTGGTGTAATGTGGTCATGTTTCTTGGTACCTGTTAAAACCAGCATTTTGTACTAATTGTATCCGGGATAAGGTTTTCTGACTAATCCCAATGTATAGTGAGATACAATAGTCCAATCTAGTGGTAATAAAAGCATGGATTATTTTTTCAAAAATGTTTCTAGATAAAATAGATTTGACTGTTTTTAAAAGTTGAAGCTGAAAGCAGGATTTGACCACTGCATTATCTTTCTGGCAAAGTTTAAGCATCATCCAGAATAACACCCAGATCTTTTACACAGGGCTTCATAGAAAAAACTTTGGAAGAGATTGACGGGCTGAACAAAATCATAATTTACTCTTACCCATTTTAAATTTATAAAGTTCAAGGACAACCAGTCTAACTTATATAACAAAACCATGTAAAATCTAATATTTAAACTATCAAATAGCCACATATGTGTTATCAAAGATCTAAAAACCTGAAAGGTAAAGATTGTTCCAAAGTTTAGGGCCAAGAATTGAACACCACATTCAAATTTCACATTCATTATCTTTATATAGGAAATTTGATCTCTAATAATTTATAAAAATAGACCTTTTATGAGCTCTTAAGTTGTTAATCAATTGCACGTGCTTTTGTTGAACCCATCTGTTCACATTAATTCAACTTTAAAAACTGCTTAGTTGATGAATATTTGCAGCAGAACTACATTACCCATAATGTTGTATTGAACATCTCAAATCAAAGAAGGTTAACGGTGAAGATAAAAGGTAAGTTGTTATCAGCTCATCATTTAATACATTGGTGGCCAACCCTGTTCCTTGAGAGCTACCTTCCTACTGATTTCCTTGCAAGCAACCCATATTAAACACACCTGCCTGTAATTATCAAGTGCTGCTTCAGGTCCTAATTAATTGATTCAGGTGTGTTTGAACAGGGTTGGAGCTGAACTCTGGAGGATGGTAGATCTCTTGTAACAGGGTTGAGCACCCCTAATTTAATATATGACCAATGTTAAATTGCCCACTACAGTAACAACCAGTGATGATTTTTAATTCAGATGTTGAATGTGAAAATGTATTTCACTTTTGCTTTTACAGTAATGTGCATGCGTTTACTATTGTTCATGTGACCATTTACAAATAAAATATGACCCTGGAACACAAAACTGTAGTCTTAGCATTATGTTGCTATAGCTAAAAATACATAGAACGTCAAAATTATTGGTTTTCTTTTATGCCAAAAATCATTTGAATATAGGTAAAGATCGTTTAGTAAAGACAAAAAATTCTTCTGTAAATAAAGCAAAACTCAAGTAATGTGCATTGCTGAGCAAGTAGCTATAGACCACTGATTTCCTCAAGATTTAATTTATTTTAACCATTAAATTTCAGAGTTGTACATCTCAACCAACGATTGTCCTATCCTAACTAAATCAATGGAATCGTTTATTCAGCTTTTTGGTTGATGCGCACATCTTAATTTAAAGAAAAAAGGGACATTGACTGGTTATATCATGTCTTTGAAAAAGTAAATATTTTATATAAATTGTATAATATTCCTAATTTAATACTTGCGATATAAAAAACTTCTCAAGAATCTTAATAGCTTTTATTTAAATATCAAGTTTTACAACATTTATTTGCAATTGCATATGAGACTTTTATAATAATAGTAATTAAAAAAAATTAATTACAGTGAAAATAAACTCACTTATTTACTTAGTGAAACTTATTTACTGGTAAATAAACCATTTTTTAAAAATTAATTGTTTCACTATATTGTACTGTTTAATTCCAAAAAAAAAATCAGATGTTTATTCATGGTTTTATTGCTCAGTTTTCATGTATAAATTACACTGGTCTATATTGCCTTTATTCGCGTTGGGTAGATTGGTGTTACACAATGTTGAAATTTATGTTAGCCACTGACAAACGTCTTTTCGGCTGGGTCACGTAATTTAGGCCACAAACAGCTACGTTAAATTCTAAAATCAGGTTCGTCCATTAATTGTAGCTTATATATATATAGTCTACCGGCAAGAAATGTGGCGTGTGAGCCTGTTGAAGTTGTGTGTCACTGAATGCATGAGATAAACCCTGAGTTAATGCTTTTGGACTTGTGATCATTTTTCCCACACACACAATTACAATATTGTTATCGTAAAGAAATAAAACATCGCACAGCCTCCGCCTTTTACCGTTAACACAGTGACAGACAGATAGTGTGGTTTAAAGCTCACCCATGACCGCGGCCAGACTCATGAACACCATCAGAGTCTCCAGCACCAGAAGCGTTTGGGGGGGAACAGTCGAGTTATTCACCGAAGGATGGAGAGTAAACTCAGATTCATCCGAGCTCAACCACTCATCATCATGACCACCTGAGGACTCCATCAGGAAACAGGTACTCGGATTAAACCTGATGTGGAAACTTTCTGTCGAAGTATCCCGAGGTGAGGTGCGTCATAAACAACTTGTCCATTTTAAAGTTGAAAAAGAAAATATTCCTTCATAATGCAAAACGCTTGAACAAAAACTCATTTGATGTAACGCTCACTAAGATCAGCTTCCCCGCCTACTCTCTGCATCTCCATTTGATTTGTGTCTGACAGTGCAGTTTATCATCTCCAGGGTCTCCATCAGCCTTCAGTTAATCTCCAGCGATGACAACATGGAAAAAAAATCAAACGCTTGACTTGTGAATTACAAGAGCACCAGTTGATTATTTGCTTCGTTTGAATAGTTTCGTTTCTTAAAGGGGTAGATCACCTAATTTTTTTTTAAATTTACTCCTCAATTGTATCCCTGCCTCAATCTTGAAGCTAGCTATAGCCCACACGGATACTGTGCGCATAAAAATGGTCTTTATTTACTTGTGTAAATATGTGTGTATTTGTATTTATTCTGTTTTTATATTATTATTAATTTCAATATTATTGACTAATATGAAAATGTTCAATTGATTTATTTACAAAAGTTTGAAAAGTAATTGTTTTCATATTTGATATATTATAAAACTTGCTTTGTTTACCAAATAAGTGGATCTAATTGGATTTGCATTGTTTACATTAAAGAAAAAAAAAGGTATTTTATTTCTATTCATCATATTATATTATTTATTGATATATTTATATAATTTTTTTGCCCATCTGAGCCTGGTCCTCTTGAGATTTTTTTTCTTCACTCTCGCCAATTGGTGAAGTTTTTTTTCTCGCCACTAGCTTGCATGGTTCGAAACCTGTAGAACTACGCATCGATGGATTGCTCTTCAGTGTTTGAACTCTCAGTAGTGATTATTAAACCACACTGAACTGAGATAAACTGAACTTAAACTTTGAAAAATAAACTACACTGATTCAATTTACTATGATCTTTTATGTGAAGCTGCTTTGACACAATCTACATAGTAAAAGCGCTGTACAAATAAAGGTTAATTGAATTGAACATTTCTATTTATAAAGGTATGATATTTTATTTCATATATAAAGTTTTGATACAAAATTCTCGGCATAAATAGCAAAATATGTCTGTACTGTAGATTCTGTCCTGCCCTACCAATGTGTCTTTATTCTGTTGTACTCTAAAGACATTTTGAAGAAAACTTAAAACCTTGTAAACATTGACTTAAATAGTAGGATAAACAAATAGTTTGGAAGTCACTGTTTACATTTATACAGCTTTCTTCAAAATGTATTATTTTGCGTTTAACAAGAAACAAGTTCTGAAATTAGAACAAATGAACGGTAGTAAATGACAATTGTCTGTTTTGGGTGAACTATCCCTTTAAGATTTTCAAATAAATGTTATTGGTATTTAAAAAAAATAACTATCTTGATACACAAACTGTTATTAGAAAACAAAATTTAAAGTTATGACTAAAAAAAGTTTTACATTTTTGTACAAGGTTTATAAAACACTAAAGTAAAATTCACATGTATACTGAAATTAAAAGCTAGAACTAAATATTTTAAGTATATTATTTTCACAACCAAATAATTCTAGCTTTGAAGTTGTTTTACTGTACAAAAGAGATCTATAAAAACCATAAATAAAAACAAAGCATGACCAAGAGAATACAAATATATAAATACATTGTGTTTACAGAATGCAATTACAAACACTTAGAGGCGTTCAATTTGTAACAAAGTTTATTTGTAACTAAATAAAAAAAATTTAAATATTTCATTTAAAATAGAAAATAAAACTTGAATATTCATCACTTTTAAATGCCACAACACAAGGATAACAGTGTATAGATAGCACATTTACACACATATGATGCAGTTCTCCATCTTTCTAATAAAATCTTCAGAATCCCATCAAGCAGAGTGAATCTTTTGACTCATTTGATTCGCATCATTAAGAAACAGTTCAATGCAGCATCTCCTAAACATCGTCAGACGTGTTCTGCTAAAACACAGAAGAGTGTTGAGTGAATTGGTGAGTTTTATTAGGCAGTGTTGCATCCTGAATGCTGTCTCGTGTACTCCCACACCAGGAGTGCGGCGCTGACGTGCACATTGAGGGAGCGAGTGACACCGAACTGAGGAATCTCCACACACACGTCCAGCAGCTGCAGCACATTGGCAGGAATACCTTCTCTTTCATTTCTGTGCAGAGATACAATAGAGCAAAACAGTCAACACACAAAAACACCCTGGGTCATATGATCAAGCTTTCATAAAAAATACAGCCAGAACATATAAACTATTATGCACAGTTTTAGTTTTTAGCAAAAATCTCTTTAGCGCTCTGAATACAAATGGATCTTTTTATTGATTTCACTTTTTATTGAGTGAAATATAAATGTTATGAGGAGCACTAGCTTATATAGATGACTTCAATCCTAAATTAAACAATACAAAAGCTTACTGGAAGGGTTTATAAAAAGTAGTGGTGTAACATCACTAATCTGATTCAGATTACAAACAAGGTTTAGATTACAGTATGGTTTTTTGGATCAGCCAAAAAGGGAGATGACAAATGTCATTTGTTTTCCATTCATTACAAAAAAGCACTGCAAGAAACTGTTGGTTTTAACAAACAGTGCTTTAAAACCTGTATTTCTGTTAAAAATAAAATGAAGGAATATTCAACTGAATAAAAATAAACTAAAATATTCAGTACAGTGAAACATTTACTGTTACAACTACTGATGCTGATGATGCTAAAATTTTAAATCTAACATTATTATTTGCACAACTTATATTTACTTTTAGTCTCATTTTCAGTAAATAATTCAGTTCGAATGGTTCTAAAAAAAATAATCAAGGAGCTGATTGAACTAATGAGCCAATCTTTTAAATAATACGTCTGCCTTCGGCTCTCAGTAGCTTTGCATGATAGAGATAATCAGGCTTAATAATGGAGAGATTCACACACCTGCTGTGCAGAAACATCAGGAGGCTTTACAAACACAAGTGATGCTTCAAGACCAATCAGAAAAACTACACACGCACAGACACAGAAGTGTGTGTTGTGTAACTACTTACACAATTATTTGAATGACAAAACATGTGGTTTTTAATCTATTTTGAAGGGATCAGGGACAAGTTGGACTCCCTGGGAATTTTGCCTACACTGACTCAAACACAGCCTAATTGTGATTAATATACTGTATCAGAGCGGTTTCAGAGGAAACAGTTGACTGGTTTGGTTATATACATAACATATGGTCAACATTGCAAAATGTCCTAATAGTGTCTGCATTATCAGCTATTTATAGCTAAATTTATATAAATGTACAATATTTTTCAGATGTGGCACGGTGGCTCAGTGGTTAGCACTGTTGCCTCACAGCAAGAAGGTCGCTGGTTCGAGTCCCGGCTGGGCCAGTTGGCATTTCTGTGTGGAGTTTGCATGTTCTCCCCGTGTTTGTGTGGGTTTCCTCCGGGTGCCTCCCAAAGACATGTGCTCTAGGTGAAGTGGATGAACTAAATTGTACGTAGTGTGTGAATGAGAGTGTATAGGTGTTGCCCCAGTACTGGGTTGCGGCTGGAAGAGCCGCTGTGTAAAACATATGCTGTTATATTTAGCGGTTCATTCCACTGTGGCGACCCCTGATAAATAAACGACTAAGTTGAAAAAAAATGAATGACTGAATATTTCTCAGACTGAATGATGGTTGATGCTTTCTAAATTATACATTAACCAAATAAATTATTAATAAATGGGAACACCTTAAGTAACAATTCAGTCCATTTACTACTGGCTTATTACCTGCCTATTATTAGGATAATAACTGTTTATTAGCACTTGTAAACTATGATCTTATTTTACATCCCTAATCCTGCCCAATACCTCAACCCAAATACTCCCTTATTAACTATAAATAATCAGCTAATTAGTAATTTATCAAGCTAAACATTCTAGTTAATGTTTTTTTAATAGCGTGAATTGTACGTTAAAGTGTGACCAAATCAATTAATAAAAATATAAATAAATCATTATTAAATATAATTTAGAAAATTAAATTTAAACTTCTTTCTGAAAATATTTAAATCAAAGTCAGTGATGGTTTATGTTTAGTTATGAACCAAATGAAAGCTGCTACATCACTGATCTCAGGCTGAATGTTGCCAGATCCTTGATTATGTATAAAATACATTAATTAAAAAAAATACCCTAAAGCTGCAGCATCAGTGATTCCAAGGTTAGTGATTGTTGATGCTTTTTCTAATTGTACATAAACAAATAAATGAATCAATAAATAAATAAACACATAAATCTGCAACATCACCGATTTCAGATTGAATGATACTGTAACTGTTAAACTGCCCATCATATTAAATCAAATAAAATCCAAAGCTTCTTCATCACTGATCTTAGACTGAATGATGGCTGTATGTGTAAATTGTGCGGTAATGTTGTGTGTTTTTACTGATGAGCACTCGGCGTGTCAAGACTTGTGTTTCATACAGAGGTGAGGAAATCTCAAAGGGAGAGATGCGTCAATTAACCTCACAATGTTAAACTGCACCGTCAGCACACACTATTCTCCCACCGCTTCAGAAAGACAACAACTCTCTCTTTATCAAAGCCATCCAAAAACATTGCTCGTTTCTGCATTCTGTTCATATACAACAACCTCTTAGTATTTTAATAATTAAGTCAATCGTGCTTTTTAGGAAAAATATAAATCAAATATTACTAAAAAAAGATGTGAAAGTATGCATGTTTAACTTTTAGCCATTCATTAAGCATTTTTTTCAACTAATGAAAAGAAAACATCCTAAAAAGCTTCTTTTTTTATTTAATTTTAAAATTTCCCCCCCTTAACTCTCCTGCATAGTCCTAATCCTCCACTTCATTATAACTGACACAAACTTTACAGTGAAACATTAATACAGAGGAACATTAATATACTGCTCAAAAAATAAAAAAATAAAGTGAACACTAATATAACACATGCTAGATCTGAATGACACAGCATCCTCGACACAGCAAACCTTTTTGCCACAGCTCGCATTGATGTACCATCCTGGATGAGCTGCACTACCTGAGCCACTTGTGTGGGTTGTAGACTCAGTCTCATGGTACTACAAGAGTGAAAGCATCACCAGCATTCAAAAGAGAAGTGGTCTGTGGTCACCACCTGCAGAACCAGTGCTTAATTGGGGGTGTCTTGCTAATTGCCTGTAATTTTTACCTGTTGTCTATTCCATTTGCACTACGGAATCTGAAATTGATTGTCAATTGGTGTTGCTTCCTAAGTGGCCAGTTTGATTTAACAGAAGTGTGATTGACATGGAGTTACA